ACAGCCAGATTAAGAGTCTGGTGCTCTACCGACTGAGCTAACCGGGCTATACTTCTCTATTAATACTGTTAAATAACTATGTTCCTAGTTATTTAAGGTTCTAATTACAATTTTGGCTACTATTCAAAAACTCTGAATGCTCAGGATGTTATACTTCTCATGACTTCAGTAAGTACGTGGAAACTTGTTTTGATATTTTTCGACGTTTCCGGAGCCACATTTTTGTAAGTCAAATCGCTTGAGTATAAGTGTTAAACATAGTGCTTGTTGGGTTCCATTTCAATCGTGAGTTTCAATTCTGTTTCTTTCTTGAAGTTAATCCATTGAATCTTCCTTTCTCTGATTTAGCTCTAATACTCTGTCAGCTAAGCGTGGGTTGACATGACAGCGCACGTTTCACTTGGATTTGTTATAAGCAACATGAAAATAAAAGGAAAACTTGACCGGGATACGATAATCTGAACTGTGTAGAGAAGAAGAGATTCAGTATAACTGATAACAATCTTGTGAGTGTGGAAATTTTTCAATATTTAAAGATATATTCATATTAACTCTCGATACAGGGCTGTCAAATAGAAGGCATTATTCGAATTATAATTCACTGAGAAAGACAAAGTCAGAAAACTGTATCAGTTGAACTTATGAACAAGAACAGAAAATAGTAAAGAACTGGACTTCATCAGATTTGAATAGTTAACTAGAGGGTTCAGGAAAATACAAAGAAATTGGCTTTAAGCTTCATCTAATACGGATTTGTCGATGCCCATTATTTCAGCGATTTGTTCCAATCGAGATCGTTCTTCATCAGTACATTTTTCGAGCTAAAACAACAGTTCTTAATTGAAGAAAAGTTTTTCTCATACCTTTATGTGTTTTATTTTGTCCACAGCTAAGAATGAATTTTTCTGAGAATCTTCCGATTTGCATGCTACAGCCTTTTCAATACATTCTACTGGTATATCAATCTAAATAGATCATGTCATTTTCATTTTCAACCTTAGAAAGTGGCAACTAACCGCAGCAAACAGGCTTTGTAAGGTTTCCGTAGTGTTACTCATCAGGTCATGGTAGTACACAATTGGGTGACAGTATTTATCAGCATTCTTTTTATAAAATGTTAAGGGGGCAGCGTAATAAACTGCCGCTAATTCCTATAACCAATTATATGAGAGAGAGATGAGAATCAGAAGCAACCTTGATAGTGTTAACTTGGCACTTCAATAAGAAATCGCTCTCCATGCAAATCCAATTACCAATGAAGCGAGTGAGGTGTGGATTGATATGAAGAAGACGCAGGAAGTAGATGCAGAGAGCTTCGGTTCTACAAAAGGTTTGTTACTTGCACTCCCGAAAATAAAAAATTACCTTCGTAACATTCTCTCATTGGATAACAAACCATTCTTACGGAACATAAAAATCTGTTTGAGGTTAGTAACATCATCACAATACTTAGCAAGTCGAGCCTCGCCAGAAGTTGTCTTCAATACGCAAACTTGATTGCTGGGAGTATGAGCTCGAAGACAAGTGATTGTTGCTGACAGCAATGTTCTCATTCTCTGTATTACACGTTTTTTCCTTGATATTTAATAATAAATACCTTTTCTGAAAACAGTGCAGCATTGTCCATGTTTGATAAATTAGTGAGACAATGAGGTTCGCCATAGCAAACCGATTCACCCGGATGATTTAGCATCTTCGCCAGTAACGTGGAGCCACACCTGGCAGTATTTGTGAAAAGAACCTAAGTAGTATGATGTGAGGATGTTGTATGAAGAATTATTCTCACTGTTCTAGGTTGAGGTCTCTGTTCCAATGCTCTAGCGAGCTCAATGAAATCATCATGACATATCTGGGCAACTTGTATTGCCTGGAAAATTTGAGAATTATTGAGCTATCAAGGATTTGATTCTTACGTCAGTATGCACTGGGACGAACATGAAGGGATAGTGAGCAATGGTGTACTTTTCGATTGGAGACTTCAAATATACAAAAGTTACTAAGTCCTTAAATTCAAATTGCTCAAAGAACTTAAATCACATCTTAACCTTATCAATAGAATATATATGCCAATTAGGATGATCCAAACTCGTGGGTTCCACGAAAACACCGGGAGTGAGAAGAAAGTCTTCTTTCCGTGAAATTTCAACTACATCTATTTTGTGCCGGAACAAAATATTCCTCAACCGCACTTTGCCACCCGGAATAGGTCCAAAGATAATCTAAAACAACAAGTATGGGGATGAGTGCTATCAGATCATAATACTTACTCTAACTATGAATTCATAGCTACTATTGAATAAAAGAAAAATGAACTGAAGGAATATCTTAACAAACGTAAGAAACCACTGGGATGTCGTCTCCATTTCGAATAGAAAACAGGGCCACGAATACGTACTCCTACCTTCAGCTAATGATAGATCTGCTATCACACGTCGACTTATAAAGGAACGATGCTCTCTCTCTAAAGCTATATAGATATCATTCGACAAGAGATGGCATACGTGTACTAAAGAATTGTGCTATGACACGTCAAGTTATTAGGAAAGAATGAAACTCTTTACAACAAACAAGATAATGTTCGACAAGTCATCTATTACCGTACTCAAGGTTTGGTTATAACACGTCGACTTACAACAGTGCAAGAAAACTGTTAAAGCCAATGAATGTATTCTACGAAAAATTGCGTATGTTCATATTAAATAGTTTAACTATTTAACTTTAATTTATCTGAGCGAATCCAACTTCTGATTCATATGAGGAATTGAATCAAAATTGTCAAAAGTTTATAGTCTAATAAGTTAATAGTATGAACAGTCATCTGCACTTCTGAATGACTGAGATACCGAAGCATTAATTCCTTCTGATACAGTTACCATTAGTTTTCAATAAGTTATAAACAAGGGAACATATGTGTTCAGTATAAAAATAACCTTAAATTCCTTTATGATAAGAGTTTGAAAGTTCAAAACTATAATCTACGAATTTCTATGATCAAGTGTTCAACTGCATTCAGTGTGTTCCAAGAAATCCGAGAGAAAAGAACATTCAGAGTAGTCTTGTAGCATGGTTTCACTTTGTTCTCTTCTTACAATGCATTACTAATACTATTGCCAAATCACTTCGATTGCCCTATAAGAAGCTGTACAAGCGGAATAGACCAGTATATGGTTGGTGTGATAACCCTAGTATATCCCGTTAGTTTCAACAATCATCTTTGCTCTTGACGAAAGCCGGTTACAAAGCTTCTTCCGACCAGGAAATGGAAGACCATTAGTTAGCCCTTCCAACCTCTCTCACCTTTCATTTGCGTATAATATGCGAGCATTACCAAACTTTCAGTAGCACATGTACATGGTCCGGCAATCTTCTCCTCAAGAAAGCCAGAGAATGAAGAGGACAGCGAGAACTTCAGTTCGGAACATAGAGAACATTGAGGCAACAGTGATGAACTAGAATGAATCATGAATCCCAAATAACAAAAAAGTAAGATTCGTCAACTAATCAGGTTAATTAATACGCTGTACTCCTCGAAAATCGCACGGTTCTTCTATCTAACAGAAGATTCGCTCTATCTGTTAGGACCATTGTCATCTGATTTCAGTTACAACTGGTCAAAAGATTCGAGTAGTAATTGCTTGACAAATATCAGACTGCGAGAAGTTAATTGATATTTTGATAAACCGGTGTATAGAGAATATAAATTTATATTATTATAGTATTCTTAACTTTATTGAAATGTTCAATACTTTATTCGCATGGGTATGCATATCTGTCAAAGGAGGAGACATGTAGTAGAAGAAGGCAAACGTATCTTTCAGTAATCTAACTGAAGACAAATTTGCACTCAAATCATGCTCTGTAAAAACATTCTTGACCGTAGAAGTTGTTATGATGGATTTCAAGTTATTCGCGGACTTTATGTGTTTCAGAACTGAAGACGAACACTAATGGAAAAATGTGAAGCAGCAGGATGTGAGAGCGATTTTCTATTGTTTGCTAATGCAAATTTTCTTTCGCTTTTCATAACTTCATGTATGTGTCCGCTGCAGGGAGTTTCTCAATTCAACAAAGTTAGAGCTCAAGAGGATGATTACTGGCAAACGTTGTAAGGAAAGGCGAATGATAGAACATATTACTATTTCTTTCATTATTCAACGAGAATCTGAAGCATGAAGATAAAGCAAAAGCATTACAAACCCACTCTAAGTCCATAATCATTCAGTCATTTCGTGGAATCTTTCTTTCTCCTTTTCTTTCCTCTCCCCTTCCTCTTTTCTATTTCCTCATCTGCATCCTCAACCTCTCTTCATATATTTCTCTTTCTCATCTCCTCTTCGTTTTCAAGTAGGACCACGTCGATTTTGTCCAGCCTCTGTCGTTCTGCTTCTTTTCACCCTCTCCAGCTTGGTTCCCCCCACCCTAGTCTTTCAGATATGTCCAATAATTTGAAAGAAATGTTTTTTCTTCAGCTCAGAATTTCATTTTCGTATCAATCTCAAAAAAAAAGCAGCTTGAAAAACTATCTCCTCCTCTAAAATGCAGTCTTTCATTGATGCTTCAAACTTCATAAAGTCCTTCGTGTGTGTATGTATGTATGTCGATTGACTTTCTCGGCTGGTTTTAGCCAGAGGAGTTGGAACTTTCTACTGAATTATTCATAAATTATTCCAAAAACTCTTCATTGAACAACTAAAGTCTTAGCAACATCGTTCCTTTTCATTAATTTCCTTTCTCTTTGATACAAAAAGAAAAATACAATTTGTACTCATCTTTACTTATGTTTTATCCAGGTTTTTCTCTTCCTTTCTCTTCGCCCCCTCCAGCCGGCAGTCTCTATCTCGCATGCTCTTTAGCGCAGTTGCTGTTTGTGATTTCGCTGATGAGCTCATGTTGTCACTTTTGCTAAAGGAAAAAACAAAACAAAAACTAAAAAATAAGTTCTGTGACTTACAATCCAGGTACTTCATTTCAGTTGATTTCTCAACACTTGACCAATACAGCTATAGAATTCTGTTTTTCATCTTGCAAGCTCGCATTTCTTTCTTTCAAAATATGGCTTCAAATATCTTGTTGACTTAAAAATGAAATGAAATTTTTTTTTCTAACTTTTTCAAAAAAGAAACTCTGTAGGTTGTATCTGTCTGTTTGCAAATCCATATTCTAACAATCAATTATTATAATAAAAGTCCTTGCTCTCTTTCACTTGAAAAAGTTCTTGCTGTGACTGTTTGGAGCATAGTTGCAGTCAATTCACAATCCCCACGGAAATACATTTCGACGTAGAATAGACTTGCTAATTCCCTTATTTGCAACCTTCAATTTGTTTTTGTCGATTGCAGAAGCCCTTTTATTCCTATAATGCTAGAGATCGTCATAAGGTTATTTTGATTTACGAGTTTTGGACTTTGTCCGAAATCCCAAAAGCATTTAAGCTTTTATGTTTCAAACGCAAATGTAACTAAGACATAAAAAAAACAGACAATGTTATTGATTTTACTTTGTACCCAAGCAGACAATTAACTAAACTTCCTGACGCTTCAACTACTATTTTCAAAGAAAACGAATAATTATCAATGCCCATTATGGTCAACAACGTTTCCGTCCATTCTATTATCTCGAATTTCATGAAATGAAAGAGTCTACTCTATGTTTTATGTTTCCATCTGTTTCATTTCCACGTCTTCTTCGTGCTGCTTTGATACCTCTTCTTCGTAATGTTTCAACTAAACTGAGCCACTAGAGAAACTGGATCATCAATCCTTAGATTTGTCAATATCCACCATATGTAAATTAGTCTAACCCAGCTAGCTGGCCATATTGAACACCAAATGAATTTCCATCCAAGCGTTGTGAGAGCAATCTTAAACATTCTGTTTCCTTTGGCGGTATTGTTTCCTACATTCATCTTCCTCATGAAGCTGCCGATCGTTGCTCAGCTCTCATTTATTTTCCTATCCGAAAATGTGTGTTTGTTCTCGCCTTCTCTTTAATAATCTGTATAAAAAAAATAACAATGTGTTCAAATCTTCACAACGAATGAGTATTCTCACGTGTTTTATATGCCGAAATTTTTATTTCTTCGCTTCATTACGCACTGAGCGGTTGCTTCATAGGGCTGTTCGCTCTCGTCAAGTTAGATGAATTCTTTCATTTACTCTACCAAAATTTAAGCGTTCTTTCAACTCATTTTAATGAATAACGAAACCCTTTTTCAAGGATTATTGCTGATCAACGCCGAATTCCAGAGTCAGTGAGCTAATCCAGCTGAAATTTGGGAATATATACCCTGCTGTGCCATCAACAGGTCTTGTTTTCATAACTGAATGAAAACTTGTTATAATTTTACAATTTGAAATGCTCGACAGCCTTTGTGTTTTCTTTCCCAAATATTCTTTTCTTGAAGCCGACATCCAATTCAGAAGCTCATATCGCATATCATATCAAATGGATGTTTGAGATCTTCTATTTTTTGTGCTCTTTTTGCATACTAAAATTGAAATTTTCAATTGAAAGCAATCAGTTATTACGTCAGCAGATATGATTGGCTGTAAGGACCACATAATTAAAGTCAATTTGAATTTTGGAAAAGAATTTACTCCTGTTTTGACTAGACAATCAATTTTTTTTGTTCTATTGATAAAATTCTAATGCCGAACATAAACGTATCCAAATACGAACCACTTATAGTGTAAAGCGACTATTCATCAACCGATTTGGGAACTCTATATTACAAGAGCAAATAAAAGTGATTTTCATCTTCTCTTCGCTTCTCATCATGACATGACTCTCTCTCTCTCTTTCTCTTTCGTTTTCTCCCATTCTATCTTTCGCGTTCGTGCTGAATGGGTACGAGTGTATATGCTTACCGAAAGATCGAACTGAACGTCGAGCTAATGAATGAAAATTGCTCAATGGAAAAGAGATTTTTTTCTCCAAGCCATGAAGTGTTAAATCTGACTAAGAAAATAGATTTATCTTCAAATATTCCGTTCTCCTACAAGCTGTTTGTATATGTGAATGTTTTCATTGGTTGATAGCTTACATATTATCTACTGGTTTTCATCTTCACTTCTCTCTTGTTATGAACGACCGTCTAATTCCTCTCAGTGTTTAAGAATGAAATTACTTTTATGCTAATGAATAATTCTCATTTCTAAATCTCATTCGTCGCTAGCTGGTTTCATTCGTATTCCATCAACCTCCAATCTTCAAAACAGAAAGAGTTCACAGTGAACCTTCTTACTTTGCAGATTAAAATGATCCTTATTTGCTATGAACATTTGAGTGTATTCATTGCAGTCTTGTCATGAAACAAATGGCTGCTTTCCATTTCGTTTTCTTAGTAGTCCTTTAGGATTTCATATTAACTTATTTGTTTCTACTATGACAATTACTAAAGAAGAAACTTCCGGTTTTTTTTCAGAACATAACATGGCAACAACCACTTTGACATCAGAAGAAATCCCTCCATTATTGAAAAGGAATCATATAGTTTCTGGATATCGACCATTGAACCAACCAAGTTCATATTACTTCAAGTCAGCGTTCTGCTCTCACAATGAAGTGGTGAATACTACGCGTATCTGGACAGAACACTAACTTTCAAACTTCAGATTAATGTATGGACACACTTTGTACCCGCAGTTGTACTCATTCTCTTCTTTTTAATCCCGGAATTACGTTCCGACTTACCTCGTGTTCCTGTCCTTGTTTTATACATGGGGATCGCTTGCTTATTGCTTGGTTCTTCATCAGCTCATTTACTGGTATAGAAAAACATTGAAACAGCCCAATAACCCTAATAATTAAGCATTCACGATCTCCTATAGATCATATTTTTTGGTTTTTGATCGACTTTTCTGGGATAGCTTTGTTTGGAGTTTCGATTGGACTACAGCGGTTTGCTTGTAACCAAGAAATGGGTCTACTGGCTCGAATCGTAAGAGATAGGCAAGAGAGTAGTAACAGAGTAACATTTAAGGCTTATTTACCATCTCTTCTGGCTGTCGTGTTAGGTTTGCAGTTTCTGTCAAGCTGTTATCTATTCGTGTGTCGTCCTCATTGGAAGTACCGTTTGGAATTGCGGATGCTAACATGCTTATTTTTGGCAATTTGGTTGTATATTCCTCTTTTACATCGTTATTGGGTGAGATATTACTTCCGTAATAATCATGAAACAAGAATTAACAGGTGTCATCTGAATCCGAAGATGAAGGTCTTGCCTTGCATACAAAAGCCTTTTTATGGTTACTGTACAGCGGTATCTTTATGGGAGGCCATGTTCCTGAACGATTTGCACCTGGAAAGTTTGATATCTTTGGCTACGGTCACCAGGTAATGTACACATACACGTACATAATTCATTGAATTGATTTAAGCTTTTCCACTTATGTATTAACATGCTTGCTTGGAATCTGTGTGAAGCAGCTGATATGGACTGCGGTGCAAGTGACGGTTCTATCAACAAGCCTATTAATGCAGTAATACTAGGAGTTTTCGTGCTTTCTTTCGTTTATATCGTTTTCGTTCTCAAAAATCTTATGGGTAGAGCTAAAGATCTGAAATATGATTAAACCACGCATAATAATAACCACTAAACGGGTTCCTCTCTTCCCCCAACTTTCTTAAGTCACCAACATGCAGTACCAGCATCCAGTTGGCTAACACAGTGATTGTTAATTGGTATTCACTAGCACGAGTTCAATGTAGATATTACCTAGATGTCTAAGTCGGTTGTGACAATTTAATGCGAAAATTCTTTGATTGTTATGAAAGCGAAAATATAAAATAAGATCTGAGATCAATGCAATTACAAATGGCAGATTATTAAACAATTAGCTATAAGAACCTAGGCTAATAAGCAATCATGAGAAGACCTATGCTTTCTTCTCATGGTCAAAAATAGATAAATCTCCGAATAACAACTCTGCCCTTTCTTCGTCCACTATTTCAGCATGCTTGGTTGGAAGATACAGATAGGAATCACTGAAACAAAGAAAGTTCTACTGTTATCAATGAATGAGTAATTTCGATGAGTTTTTTTTTCTCTTCACTCAGCCACGAAAGGATGTCAACTTCTCTTTTAATATATTCTTGACTAGTTCGTGTTGCTGTGCGAAGCCGTCATTGTTCTTCGCACTATGAATATTTGACTTTAAGAATTATACCTGCCAAACCATGAAAATTTAACGAGTGCATCTGATTTGTTATTACTCATCTCACTAAGCGGAAGCACTTCGGTCAGTTCCACATATCTGCAAGAAAGCAGTTAGCGGAACATAGAACAATACTGTGAAACATACTTATTTTTCCTAGATCCCCAAAACGTCAAATAGCCTACTCTTATGTAGTCGTTGCTGTCATTCATTGCAATTACCCCAATTAAACGATTCAGATATCTGAGAACAAAGGGTCAATCACACCAAACCAGATTATAGTGCTCACCTACTAAACAGAGCCAAGAATATTGGTGCAGCGATAGCAAGTCCTGCTGTCGTATAATACCATGTGGGTTCGGCTACTCCCAAGTAGAACTGATACGATGAATAAGGCAAATATAATACACTTGCTACGGTTTGGAGGAGTTTAGCTCTCGCTAGTATAACACCAAATCTAACGCCGGGATATCTATACACTGCATTCCTGAAGTGAAGGATAACACTTGAACGAAATTTTCTCATTCTAACCAATTCTCATTTTGCAGCTCAGCTCGTAGAGACTCATCCGAGGGTTTTGTAGAGTACTTTCTTATTCCGTATCCACCCATTCTCCTCATTAACTAAAAGAGGTTTTTTCATTCAGAGTGTTTATCTGAGCTGTTACTTCTCTCTTCTCAAAAGGATTATCTCCTCTCGACTTGTTAATATGTTTCTTTCGTGGCTGCAAGAGATTATGTGCTGATGAAATTGTTGCGGATGTTCTCGCAATCTGAATTAAGGAATATATTTGGTGTATACATAGACTGCAGACCTGTTGGGGACGCGCATTTCGAGAAGCTTTATCCATAAGTGATTTAGCTGCGAACATCGCGGCTAGGAATGCCATCTGAATACTTTATATTATACAAGATTTACATGATTATACAGAAAGCAGAAATATAGGGTGGCTAGGAAACCTATTCAGAATGTGCCTAACAAGAAGAAATCTTTATTACTGTATCTATTCAACAACCTATTCAATCAGAAGAAATTTCTGATGAGCTTTGAAATAACTTTGACTAATGCCGGTACATGATGCTCGGCTCTTCTCAATGCAGTAACATCCAAAACAGAAGAGAAGTTGGAAATGAGCGTATGTTCCTACAAATTCAGCAAATTACCAGAACTCAAGCCATAACCACATACCTCTCTTAGTCTTGAGCGTAATTTTGGACACGTAGTCACTAATAACAACTGGGCTTCTAAATCCCTATGAACGGAGCGATATCCATAATTAGAAGATCCTATTAACGTTGCAGTGAACTTCGGGGTTTCCATCCAAATCCCTTTTGCGTGAAAAGTCCAATCTTGTCTCTTATATTCAAAAAGCTTGATATTTCTAAAAAGAACTATGTACTCAAGTATTTTGATGCGAAGCACCTGTTGAATGTAACTGCTTGATCTAGAAAGGTTTTTGAAATGTGTGAATACATTGATGGAATGTATTTCGATAAACCATTAGCCCCGAAGAATCCATTCGCCTTAAAACAAGAAAACTCATATGAATTTCTGATTGTCTAACCTCAGGCGCAGCGGTGATAATATCTAAGTCATAAGTTCCTTTTTCAAAAATCAACTCTTCGTATTCTTTTGTGGTGTTGAAATAACCAGAGGCCATTATAAGATTCAGGTTTTTTTCCTCAAAACAGAAACAGTATACAGCAAAGTGGTTTAGGGAATACTCACTTTCAAAGAGAAAAGAGCTTCCAAAAAATCTTTTTCTTGGTTTATGCCATACGGTCCCATCTGTAAGAGGGGATAGACCATAGTATCGGAGTTGGATGACTTTGAATCGAAAGAATTGATAACTTCTTCAATTCTCTCCTTTAGTAGTTTAATATAGTCCGCATAAACCCCTGGAACTATTACGCTTAGACCTTACAGTATTCAAGAGCTCTACCTTGAAAAGGATGAACCGTGCAATCATAACTCAGTTCAGTATCACCATTGCTTTGCAATGTGAAAGAAGACTTTCCGACTACCTTAAATAGGAGCAAGTATTCATTTGAAAGCCTTAAATGCGTACTTCAATTATTTTAACAAAGAAATCAGCAAGCTCCGGACTGTTCTTAAACAAAATGTAACGATCTTGTCTATTTGTGAAATACGAGTCGGATAAGTTAGCACTACAATGGGCTTGATTGATTACGTCTAAGAGGTAAGAACTGACCCGCTGATTAGAACATTATCATCGAAAATGTATAATTTCATGTGCTGTAACCCTATGATTTCATTTGTTCTTTCAGGGAGAGTACGTTTGAAGAAAGCTCGAAGATCTGGTGAATGATAAAGATAAATCTAAACATAATCTAGTTCTACAATCCTTTTCATTCACTAACCTCAGCTCTATCAGCAATCCGCTTAAGTAGAGACGTACTACTTTTTTCAGCAGCTTGACCTCTCGTTCCTCTAAGAAAATCGATCAGAAACGATACTTTTAGCTTGGGATTTGATACTAGGTTCTCCTCAATTTTGGAAACCTAAAAAGAATTTTGTGTTCCTGAAAAGGATTAATGAGAACGTACTAAGTTTTTTTCTAAATCCCCATCTCCTAAATATAGGGTACTTATCGATATTCTATCTTTGGCTCTTTGAGACTGATCCTAGAGATATACGGATTGATTATGAGGAAGAAGTACATTGAACTTACTGTTAATTCACGATAAAAACTAGATGGCTCTGTTATAATTTGAATATTATTAGAATTTACAGATATTCCTTTTAATTTAAGTATGATATCTTCCATCGAAGACACCGTATTGTGTCTTTAACACAGATGAGCTCGAAACATTAAAGAATGAACTCAGGGGCTCAGATTTTGTACGTAAAGTAACGTATTTGACGAGCACTAGAATGATTACAATAAATATATGAAGTGATAGGAAATTTCAGCTTAGGAATCAGAATGAGAGAGTAAAGTTTAGTAGGAACAAGAGGTCGGTTGAATACAATTGTTTAATATGCCAGTAGAACATTACATAATGCAGGTCAGAAAAGCAAATATCGGTATTGCAAGCTAGTAGCTCAAGTTTCTGTGTGGTTCACTGTTAAACTTTTCATTCCACATATATCTTATTCAGTCGTCTCTTTTTCCGATAGACTGATGTAGCTCCCATTGACCATTTCAGTCAGTTGAGGAAATTATTTTATTGAATGTACGCAAATGCTCGTCGCGTTACTTCGCGCCAATTTTAAAATGCTTTTAATATAAATTGTATAGGAAGCGTGTACTCTGCTTTTCTCGAATACTAATTTCTGCTTAAATTAACTCGAGACTCATTTATTCAATTTCATGATGCGTATATATTGTTCTGAAGAATAAATTTCTTTATTTAAAGGTTTGATGTCGAAGAGAGCCCAAAAATCCAAAGCTAAACCGAAAAACACGGGTTTGAAGCATCAGTTTGAGGTCGAGACCGAGAAACATAGTTAACTATACTTGTCCCATTAAACCCCTTGCTTTTACCCTTACAGAAAATGAATCCAAAGAAAAGCTCGTAACCATCAAATCTGAATATCTGAAATATGTTGATAAACAATTGGATGAAATCTATTATAAAATTGTGTCTGAGGTGAGCATTTAGTTCGTCTTCGTCAGTAGTACTCCGCGTTGTAGACATGGAGGCGCAAAAACTTCTTGGAATTCATGGAGAGTGGGCAGTACAAAGTCAAGCAAGAGGTTGGTTTGCGTATGAAAGCGTCTCAGTAATTTGTAATCAGGTTGAGATAAAATCGGAGCCTGTTAGAAAATCAGAATTAGTAGCTAATGATGAGCCACCAACACCTGTACCACCAGCACCCATGGATTGTACTACTGTATGTCGACCGAATTCTCCTATCAATACAATGTTTGCAAAACTTTTACTTTTTCCTTTTGAAATAACTGTTCTAGCCTTCGTGGAAAACAGTTAACGGTATTTACTCCTGCTGGAAGATCAGTCAGAGTTCCATCAGTGCTTCAGCTCAAAAATGGGATAGAAAACGTTCCGTGAGTTTCTATTGAGTAAATTGAATCAAATTGGAAAGCTTTTGCAGTGCAACTCAGTATCGTCCTTCCAAATACGATGAAATTTTGTTCTCTGTGAATGGATCGCCAGTTACAGCAACAACTCCACCAGTACTTAAGGTAGATTTTGGTAATCTGATAGAAGCTTATCACTTCTCTCTACAGCTAATGCAAGCGGATCCAGATGATTTATCTCCTGTATCAAGACAAATCACGAACAATATTAAACTACTAATGTCAAGAAAGAATATACGAACGACAATCGACGAACCTAATAACCATAACAACGAGATCGACTGATGTAAATATCCTTCAACTGTACTTAATATTATGAATTGAGCGATGTTACTGTTTTAAAACATTCTGTCCATACTAATGTCTCTTTTGATAATTCAATAAATTCCATGAATTACATCCAAATAGTCTCCTAGTATCTTCTACAACAAAGAAAAAATTTATTTGGAAGTTGGTAGCGTCCACCATGAGAATCGATAATAGAGCAACCCCCAATGATGTTGGAGCGCGCAAGCAACTTATTGATTCGCTATTGGTCTTTTTTAGCGCGCCGTCTATATTTTCTTCTTTTTCTTTTAACTTTATTCCATTCTTCTATTAAAAATTGTTACGATTCATTTTTTAGGATGGCTGATAGTGAAGCGAAAGCAAGAAAGAAGCTGGAAGAGGCTGAAAAGAAAATGAAAGGTGGTGGAGGATTCCTTGGCAAACTGTTCGGCGGCGGTGGTTCCGATGAGGCAGCTGACTTATTCATTCAAGTAATCATATTAATATTTAAAATATTTTTGGATATAATCTTGTGCTTTCCTTTCTCCAGGAGGAGACACAAGATTCATCCGATGAGGAAGATGAGGATGAGAGTATTACTTGCCTGGAGAAGGGCTGTGGCTACATTTTTAAAGATGAAATTGCTTTTTTGGAACATTGTCAGTCATCTCATTCGAATCAATGTGCATTTTGTGAAAGATCTTTTTCGTCGAATTACTCTTTGGAAGTTCATTCTGATGAAGAGCATTGTCCGTTTTTCAAGCTGCGTTTAGAACGTGACTCATCCAATCCTCATTACCGGTGCTTTGAACAAACATGTGATTCTATATTTCTCACCCAAGCACAACGAAATGAACATAGCGCTACTCATGAAGATGTCCTAACCGGTCTCTTATTACCTAAGCGTAAAATGGATAGAAGATTTGAGAAAATGAATGCGGAGCTGAGCTCTTCGTCAATCAGTACACCCAATAGCGCGCCTGCAAATCGTATGAGATTCGGGGAAGAGCAAGAAGTAGCATTCGAAGGAAGACGAGTATTAGCAAAGCCTTGGAATAGAAGGCGAGCTCATGTAAAAAAACAAGACGATGAATAAATATTCCTGTTCTCCTTGTTAATACTTATTGTACTTGCAAGGTGGTATCCTTATACTTAATCATTTTCCTAATTCAGGCTGGAAATTTGTTCAAAATGTCTAAGTTATGGAAAGAAGCGGGAGATGCTTTTGTCCGAGCTGCTGAAATCCACGGACCACAGGTTATTTAGCTTATCCAGAAGTAATTTGACCAATAAATTCTTAGGGCGACTCTAAGCATGACTGCGCCAGTCAATATGCCGAAGCAGCTAATTGCTATAGAAAAGTTAATCCTCAAGTGAGCTTTCATATTCCTTTCATAAAGTTAATTCTTGCTTTCTTAGCTCGCTGTTGATTGTCTTTTCAAAACATCAGAGATTTACACGGATATGGGAAGATTCACTATGGCTGCAAAGATCCACGTCACGATCGCCGAATTGTACGCCAAATTGTTTTCTTAACTCGACATTTATCCTCATTCTCTTTATAGATTCGAATCTGAATGTCCCGACACTGAACAATGTATTTACCATTATCAAAAGGCTGCTGACTACTATAAGGGAGAAGAATCCAAGAGCAGTGCAACGAAGTGTTTAATCAAAGTTGCTCAGGTTTTATTAATAGTTGAGTGATGTAGCTTATTTTCTATTTTAGTACCACGCTCAACTTGAGCAATACCAAAAGGCCATTACAGTTTTCGAAGAAATTGCTTTCTGGGAGGCTGATCACCCAACACTTAAATATGCGGCAAAAAATCACTTTTTCCAAGCTCTTATCTGTTTCTTATGCCTTGATACCGTAAGTTGCAGCTTTCGCTTCAGTTTGAAACTTCTTTTTCAGTTGGATACTCAAAATGCCTTAAAACGTTATGAAGACGCTGCCCCTTCTTTCGCACAATCTCGTGAATCCAAGTTCATATCTGTTGGTTTTTCTTTTGTTAAAGATATTGATTGGTTCTTTTGAAGGAACTCATTAACGCTCTGGGAGAAGAAGATGAAGAGAAGTTCACTGAAGCTGTAAAAAATTATGACAAGATTAGTCGTCTCGATGCCTGGCATACTTCACTTTTGGTTAAAGTTAAGAAAGCAATTAACAAAGAAGATGAGGATGACTTAAAGTAAAATGCTTTTGTACTGATGTCGATATCACTTCAACTTTTATTTATTCCGGCTGGCTTATATTATATTTATGAAAATAAAATAGTAGTTGATTATATTTTGTATACCCGATTATTAATTTGAAGAATGCACCAAACACAACCGTTCTCATCACGCGCTCGAAATAGAATGACGTGGATACCCCGCGGCTTTTGGTGTGCGGAGGGAATTCGTTCAGCTCGTGGCATCACCTTCCATCTTCATGTTTTCATCACTTTTCAATCAATTCGTGTTTCTTTCTATTAATAGTACAAAGACACAACCGATATGATATAGTCAGTCACTTCACCTTCAAGAAGTTCATATGTACTGTACAGGTTTATTGCGTAAAATACGTAATAAGATGCTTCTATAACTGGATTCAATCAATTGTTCTGCTGAAATTAGAACGGTTTTCAAAAGCAAAGTTACATTCTTTCATTCATGAAATGTTATGTAATTTTCAGTGAAAGTTAATACCAAAGTTTCTCTTTCTCTCTCTTTTATATTGGCGGCATTTGTTTCAAGGCCTATTATGGCTGTTTTGCTCTCGTTGCCCACTTATTAAACAAACTAGTTTTTTTCAGGAATTTATGAGTGACCTCAATGACGATATAGCATTTTGGAAGACAAAGTATTCCTTGTTGAATGAACAGTATTCCCAAGTTAAGAAACGTAATGAAGAATTAGAAGATAGAATATTGGACATTGTAGATAAAGTAAGCGTTATAAATAGATTGAATACTCTTTATAAATGTGTTCCAGGTAGAGAATGATAAGATTGTTTTATCAAAGGAAATAGATCACTTAACGCTGTGAGTGTTGACTCTGGTACTTTTGATGTTTTTGTTTGTTTCAGAAAGTTAGAAAACGCTGATGATAAACTTAAAAAGTATGAGGAGTTATCGGTAAAGCTTGAGTCTATTCTTATCAAAAGAATATTGATCTTCAGATGAAGCATGGCTATACGATAACTGATCAATGTGCGATGGAGAGTGATAATTGCTCTTCACTCGAGAATTCCAGTGTAGAAACTCCAGATGATCCAGTCATAATTGTGAGTCGTGCACTGTAACGTTTTAAAACTAAGTTCTCAGAGAAAGAAGTCTTACTCTCCAATAATGTTAAATGGCGAAGTTAGGAGCGATCTTCCCGGGTACCGTCATATTCCTCTACTCTCACTTGCTGAAGGTTTCATCTATGGTTTCCGATGGAAAAGAGAAAACGTAGTCAAAGTGGTTTAAACCTTGACTTTTTCTTGAATGTTTGTACAAACAGAGTCTATTATTATTTTTTATAAGAGTTCTATAGAAACTATTTATTTCGGCTTTTACTGGGTAATTCAATTTCCATGCAGGTGATGGCTGACTTTCATTTAAATCTTTCAATTCCAAATGTATGTCTGGATTTAAGCAGTTTTTATAAAAAAAAATTGACCTTAGTCTTGAAAATATTATTGAAAACGGATACGGTAATATATACCCTCCATGCTATGAATGTTTCAAAATTTTTTATGGAAATTAAAAACCCACCTTCCCAACCGTTTTATGCGTAAACAAAATGAAAAATGATATAATGACTAGTCGTCACGTCACGAAACCACGTCTTATTCTAATTTGAAATCTGAACTCAGTTGGAGTATTCTTTCCCTAATTATATTTATTATCCAAGAACTAACAAACATCGAAAATTCTCTCCTAGATTCTTAGAAAAGCCAGTTTAATTTTCATTATGTCGTGTATTGAACATGGGCATCAGCGATATATGTGTGTACTGTTTTGTACTCCCAGTCTTTAACCGTGTATAGTATGCCAGTGACGATCAGGGAAATGCCTTAAAACTGAGAGTGTCTCTTTCTCGTTCAGAACGTACCACAAACAACCCCATAGTTGTTAGTAAAGGATGGGATGAAACAAACAATTGACATTATGATGTACAAAAGTCCTCTTCGCCAGTTATCAAAATGCAGAATCCCACTGAACACTTGACAGAACGCGCCGTTTGTTCTAGAAAAAAATATTATTTTAGAGGAAGAAGCTCTTGTATACGTACCCACACACCAAACGTAAGATATATCCGAATTCGAGTAGAAAACATGGAATCAAAACAACAGCTAAGTATACTCCAAAAAGAACATGTGTGATTGAAATGAGAGAGTTGAAAGCTGACATGCATAGTGCAATCACCGTGAAAATGCCTATTCCCGTTCGGAGATACCAAATAAACCTAAAACAGCATTCTGAAGAGAACCATGTTTTCAAACAACTCATATTATTGTCAACCTATTTCCAGCGTTCATTAACGTATTAATATGCGCTCAAAAAATGACAAACAACCATGGAGAACAATGCGTAATTTTTGGATAATTTATACGCCAGCTTAAAAATTCAAAAAATACTCCAATTCACGCTAATTGCTTGAAGTAGAGAGTTTTTTTGAGCCCTGCCTGCTGCATACACGACATCAGGATTCAGAAGTTTGCAAGATTAAGATACCTGCATTGTGGATGTCGAAGAACTTGGGCTGTTCCAGTCTCTTTCAAGCCGACCATCTTGTTGGATACATTAGAGACCTCTGTTTGCGATGTGTTGCTGAAACAACAATATGGAGCTATGAACTGTAGGAAGTAGTTACCGCACTGATTCAATATCAACGTTGACAAAGTAAGGAGATTGACTACTTGCTGTTGCAGTTACCATGTATGAAAATTTTCAAAGCTGATAGCCGACAAAAGACAATTCACAGAATGGATTGATCACATTTTAGTTCGATAAAAATATGATCGTCGACATAGCACAGATGAATAAACAATTTCATTGATTTCGGATACATAACGCTTCACACAGTGTTCATGCTGTTTCCTCTTTTTTGAAACTAGGATATGTATGGCCGATTGGGAAAAACATCGTTAAAGCTAGATGGCTGAACTAAACAGTTGGTCACTTCTTCTCATATGCAAGTGGCTTCAGGTATTTTTCTTGGAGATCTGAGCGTTTTACCGAACGTTCGATTAAATCTTCTATCAAGCATTCAATTTGTTTGTGGTCGTGTGATTCAGATAGCAGCTGACTTAAGATGAAGGTTATTTCAAAAAACCGGTAAAGCTGAGAATACCTACCTCCCTCTAAAACCAAAGAACAACAAAAATCCTATATTTGCACCTTTATATTCGTTGGCATCTTGGACTGTCTGCTTCGTCATTATCCTCACCTCGCCCTCATAGGGAACAGAATCTGTAAGAAACATAATATTTTTATTTTTCTGGCAATATTTCAAAATGACTTTATGTGAAGATTCTTCTGAAGCTGAGAAGAATAGGCAAATAAGGAAACATAGACCAGAAAACGGGTCAGAAAATAAAATCTCTACTGCCATTCTACATTCTTTTCTTTTTTTTTCAACTCGTGGGGTTAAAGTTAAGTATTCCCTGGTGACGTGTTCTTCTCTCAAAAATTCATAAAGTTTTCCGAACAGATGTTTGAAACATTCTCTTACTCCCACTCCCACAACTTGCCAATTTGAGAAATATAAATATCTTTGAGGACAAATCCTTACCATAAAAACCGGAGCATAAAAATACTGGAGTACGAAAGTAGGAGGAGCTAGAGTCCTCCTACCAAAGTTTTAATCATCTTTAGTGCTCAGCTTGGTGTTCCTTTCATTTAGTTTCCTACTTCTGCCAAGATAGATTCCTTGTCATGGCTTTTTTCTAAATGATTGACTGATTTTCTTTAATATTCACATTTCCGCTATCCTCATTTGAATCTAGAACTACCAATTGTGGAAAATAAATGGCTTTTCAACTCGAAGGAACGCCCACCTTGAATGCCATTATTAGAGTTCATTTCCTTGCTTAGCTTCTCCTCAGCTTCATCAATAGTAGACAGTCTCCATATAAGGATGACTTTGTAGTTCTTGAGTATTCTAGTATCATTCATCTTTCCGATCAAATTTTTGACTTTACCATGTAACAATAGTTAACTATAACTTTTTCAGAAGTATGCGATTCTTTTCGATCATTGTGCTGCTCCTGATTGTTTTCGAGCTCAGCTTCTCTCAACGCGTGTTCGATATGATGGATGATCGAAGGTAAGATCTGCAGATCAAAGAGAAACGTAAACTTGAGAATGCTCTAGCAATACTTACGTTGCCCTTCCAAGAGAAGCGTATCCTTTCCGTCGGAAGATGTTTCCGAACCCGTATCGAGCTGTTGATGACCGATGGAAAAAAAATGAAAACTTTGAATGATCATCTGTATAAAAAAAAAATAATTGCTAATAAATAAATGTAAATTCCTCTAATAAAACATCTCATGACTATAGAGATCAACTTCATCAAAACAAAACTTTATTAAGAAATATGTTTATAGTGATATATAATGTATTATTCTACAATTTATGCTCATGCACAGCTCTGACAAACGTCTTTTTCAACTTTCTCAAAGTGGAAACAAAGTAACAAAACGTTCAATTAACCAGCTTATAAAGTTCTCTTCAAAAACATTATTACTATTAGTATTAGTTCTCAGCAGATTGTGTATATTATGTTATTTCTCAGTTCTCCACGAAGCTTTTTTTGAATAACCTAAAATGTAATGGATCAGAAGATGTAAACACAATTCGAACATAGACAAGCTATGCCAAAGTTTACATTTGACGTTTTTTGTTTTAAAAACTTACATTAACAGGAATGTAGGAGGGATTATCAAAACCGCCATAACAATGAAAGACAATTGTGGGAAGAAGGAGAGTGAAAACGGAAACAGAGTGTGAAACACGAGAGCAGCCAGAAGATTACAGAACGCTTCTATCGTACCTACTATCGCAAATGCACTTCCTAAGATGGAGCACTTAAATAGAGGAAATGTACCCGACAAACTACCTCTCTCGTGTGCGTCCACGTTGGCTGCAATCAAAGATCTCAAAGCTGTAGCAGGAAACCTCGAAAACATTTCAAAAAAGACACCTGAAAATGCTAACTGACATGAGTTTTAAACCCAACGAAACATGTTATCATTAGTGATGCGTTTGGCACTACTCCTATCCAGAGTTTACTGAGGGCTCTCGCCAATAGTCCCACGATTGAAAGTGTTGTATCTTTGATGCCCTTTCCTTTTAACCAGGGGTATGCAACTAGGGCCTGAACTTATGTATTATCTCTTAAAGGTGCAAATGAAGCAGGCTTTTCCTCACCATAAATGTTGAGCTGAATTGTATCCCAACACGTAAATAGCTGTATTGCTCAGCGTCCCAATCAAATCGGCTTTTCAAGTAGAAAAACAGGATATGAGTTGAACCTCAAATTATTTCTATTTAAGAAATTTGACAATGATCATTACCTATGAAAGCAAAGAACGAACAGGCGAAACAGACGTATACTAATTTAACAACCCATCTTCTTCTGCTATCAGAAATGATTGGAGCAACTTCCTGATCAGTTAAAATTTCCTAAGCTAACAGTTATGGGAAGTAATTGAAAGAACTTTTACCGCCTCCTTAGAGCTTTCAGTTTCTATATCCTCCGTGACAAATGATATATACAATAGGCAGAGGAAATGAATGCAAAAGAATATGATACAACCATAGAAGTAAGTAATTTTGGCGATTTGACTGCTAATCATGAACCCCACCATACCTAAACCAAACGAGTTTAGTCAATCCCACTCATAGTTAGGATAGTGCACAACCGCTCGTGCTTGCCACAAGAATATAAATGACTAGTATTCAAATTATGACACCCACGAGTCATCGGGTGTGATTTTCTTTTAATTTCCATACTACTAAACCTCTCACCTCCTAGGCCAATCAGTCCCTCCATTCTCGCTATTGATTTACTTCTAACTTCATCTGTAGACTTGAAAGCAGAAAGAAATGCAAATGCGGATGTAAAAATGGCTATGTAGCCCCCGAAACATCCAAAAATAAACTCGGAGACAATCAGAAAGTAAGGAGAAATCTGAAACAGCATGATGTCTTCATAAAAGACTCGTAAAACCTGGTCAAAGTAAACTTGAACAATCAAAGTGACATCTGACAATATCAATCCCACAAATGGAATTAGTAGAGCTTTTTTCCTGGAACGTTTATCGCTCACTCTGCCAATAAGCCCGGAAGATGCCATTGCAGTAAGACAAATGGCAACCGACCTAAAACCTTATTGGAATAATCTTCGAACAATCTACAGTAGTATTACGCGAATAAGAAAATCATATTCGTTTCTTTGTGCACTGTTACATTCTTAGAAGCCTCCTTATTTGTGCAATTCAGACTTGTTCCATTACTATCCAGCTGGAAGTGGCATACCTGAACGGAATGATAGCCAGGTGTGTAAAAGGAAAGCAAGAACTTTCGCAAATAGGAATGATTGCATCACAGGCATGAACATTGAAGCAGTTATAGAATATAAGAAAATAGGAATATATACATGCTTTCGTTGAGCCACCATCTCTGCCTTAAAGAGGAAAAACTGTTGAAAGTACTGGTAGAAGCATGTATGAAGAACGAAAAACTGTTTGGAGAAAATCGAATGAACAAAAATCATCGTTTCACGAAAAATTTATAACTTATTGGAGATAAAACAATGTTGAGAAACAATTAAGTCGATATGTTCGATACACATTTACATTAGAAGCATTGGAGAGCATCCATCTTAGTTCTCCACTCAAAATATTCTTCTTGGATATTTTCGAACGCCTATTAATGTGTAATCATGTAATTCATTAAAACCAAATGATCATTACCGTTTTATCATAAGAATCAATCAGTAGCAATAAATCTTGTAAAACATGAACAAGGGGAGCTTTGTTCAATCCCGTTGACTACAAGATTATTATAAAAGCGAACTGAAAAAATTACACTTACCGTTAAAATTTCATGAGCGAACCTGTCCTCAAGCTCTTGCAATTCGTAAACACTGCCCGCCTATACTTGCACTCATTAAAAATTTCTAATATAAGACTATTACATTGGGATACTCTGTGTCGAAATTTCTAGCAGCGAAGGTAACTCCACTAGCTATAGTAGTACGGAAGTCAATAAGATGGCGATGTAGACGATCAAGTAAGAACAGTTGAGATCTAACTAAGACATCTGATATACCTGTGCGAGGTAAATCAATTTTTCTGAAAGCATCACGAGATGGAAAACAATAAACAAAAGTTCAACAAACAATTCGCTCAACTTCTTAGAAGCGATTTCTAGATGTAGATGAAGTCTGAAGATTTGTCTAAAAACTTTCAAACAAGATGAAGAGAAGATTGCAGGTAGTTTGCTCGTATTTACAGAGATATCAAGCATATCATAATAATTAGGCTGAAGAAATCATATTTGAGAAACCGAAATACAACTAGACCTACCACAACGCTTTTGTCCATACTAGAATTATCACGGTTCGTAGATAAAAGTGCATCGAAAATGTCAGTCTCAGCAGTTTCAAACCTAAAAACAGCTTTTCCAAGACTTTTCAACCTCTCTTCCTTACGAAAATATCTGAGCTACAGGAATCTTCTCTGCAAAGTCTCGATGGAATGCTTGAGTTAATGTTTTTTTCTCCGATTTTCGAACCTATACATGCAAGGAAAAAATACAATTCAGAAAAAGCAACAGTCAACTCACAGAATTGAAAGAACGATCAAAGAGATGGTGTTTGATAAGCGCATCATAAAGCCAAGAAACACACGGAGTCAAAACAAAGAATAAATGAATTTGACTGGAATGAATCAGAGGAATTGCTTCAAGGAAAGATTACACTCACGCAATAACATTGTCCAAATTCTCCTCCAACTTCATTTTCTTCAAGACTTCTTCAGCCATTGACTTTGACAATTTCGAAACCTGCAAAACTCAAAAGCTCAGCAATCTTGTCTGTTAACTTACCACTCGAGAAAATTCATATTCATCCAATAACTTCCAATTTATGGTAGTAGCTGAAGAACTTAATCATTTTTTCTTGAAGGATAGGACAAACTTACATTTAACTGTTCTATCCAAACCACATTGGAGGATAGATTCTATCAATGGAACTACTCTAGTTGGACACAAGTCTAGTACTACAACGAAGTCACTTGATTTTCTGAAACAGTTACCCCATGAACAAAAATAAAACACTAAGTTACTTTAAATTTGCTGGAAGATTATCTTCGATCGTACGCATGTCTACTGCACTTATCCCGGCAGTGGGCCATATGAAGAACTGTATATGGAAGATTCATAAGAAAATGTGGAAGCACAGTCAACCTCATAGCAAGGATCATCTACATGCCCTCGATCAATCCAGGTTCCTATAGCACAAATGAAACGTCTCCAGTAAATCTAAGACTCTTCAGCTCAAACAAGGAATACATTGAACAGTACCTCTTTGAATTGTCTAATGTTATCTAAGTCGGTCTCAAAAACCTTCTCATTCATTTTATCCAACACATTTAGAACTTGACCGCCAACAAGCTTATTCTGAATGAGGCTTTGAAACGAGTATCACGATATGGGATAGAATACCTCAAAGATTTCTCGGGCGAGCGCATCATAAAGCTTCAGAATCGTCTTTAACTTTGCTACATTTTGATACAAGTTATTGAGAGGATGCTCCTGATTATGAAAGATGAAAAAACACAAATGATAAGAATGACTTACGATAGTGCTATAGTCGAACACTAGAATAGGTTGAAACAACTCATCTATTTTTCTATTAAGATCACTCAGTACACATGTTGCCAACTGAGATTTCAGTTTACCACTCTCTGGAAAGCTTTGAATACTGTTGTTCAGAAAAAGATGAAACCTGCAGAATATTTTCTTATGCGAACGACAGAACCAATATACTCCTCGAAGCGTTCAACGGATGATCTAACATCGGAGAATTAAGCTGTGAACTAAGATATGAGTAAAAACCTAAGATAAGGATCCATGCGATTGTGAATAATTAGTTTGAAATTGGAAACATCATCGGAAATTCTGACAAATTCACCATTCCAACCCTAAGAATTATCAAACTCAGAGATGTTTGTTGTTATAACCATACCGCGAACAAAATGCAAACGTCATTAATCAAACTAGCTTCCTGTTCTAATGGATTGAGGTTCCCAAAGTTTGAAAACTGTAAAACAATTTGTTTATTCATAGCCAATTATCAATTCCCTATTATTTACATTGTTACTGATAGGTCTGTAGTAGGACCATTCTGCTCCGAAATTCAAGTATTTAGACCTCTCTTCCACTATAATTCGCAGATTATACACTCTCAAGCATGCTGATCTTTACCTAGTTTATCTCGTATTGTTTTCCAGCAAGTCAAACCAGTAGAAGCCATTAGAAAATGTTAGTTTTCAGAATAAGTTGCTGTAACTCTGGAAATTTGAACTCAAATCTCCTGTACGTGAGAACGTAACGTTGCGTATGTTATTCCTCAATTCTATTCCACGGTTTATCGTTTAAGATTGCAAAAGCTTTCCATTGTAGTGGAGCTTCAGTGATTTAAAATAATGAAACTAGTCTGAGAGTTGCAGAAAGAGCCGCGCCCAACCGATCCTTCTTTAGTTCCATCCAGAAATAAGCTCAAGTTAATGGAAGTTGATCTCGTGAATCCTGACTATGAACTATTGGATCCTTGTCCTGATATTCATGCTTTATTCCTAGAATACAATCAAAAGTTCTTCCAAGGCAAACTATTATGTTGCGAATTAAAATGGAGTGCCAGAATGACAACGTAAGCCTTTGCTGGTTTTCGAAATCAGTATGTTTACAGTTGTGCCGGAGTATGCAGTTATGAAGGTCGCAGTGGATTTTGCTCCATTAGGCTGAGTAAACCTTTATTGACTCTTCGACCCAGGAAAGATTTAGTAGAAACATTATTGGTTAGAACATTCCCATTGATATCACTATTATTCTATGCTTGCAGCATGAAATGATCCATGCTTTTCTGTTCATCACTGCCAACAACCGTGATAGAGATGGACATGGTCCTGAGTTTCAGTTTCATATGCATAGGTCAGTAATAGTTCTTTATGATTATAATTATGATTGGTTCTGTTGAAGAATTAACAAACTTGCGGGTACTAACATAACTATTTATCATACTTTCCATGCTGAAGTGGCTGTGTATAAAACTCATTGGTGGAGGTATATACCCTTTGCAAATATCTTTTTGAGTCAAATCATTCTAGATGTAATGGATCTTGTCAACATCAAAAACCTTTCTACGGTTTTGTTAAACGAGCTTCTAACAGAGCGCCTGGTCCAAACGACCGATGGTGGCCTGCTCATAAAGCATCCTGCAATGGTAACTTTTACCCTCAGTCAATTCCATTTTCTTATCTCTGTAGGAACTTTCATTAAAATCAAAGAGCCAGATGATTACGGGAAGAAAACTAAAAAAGATGAATCCAAGGTAAGTCAACCTTAATTTTCGCGCATTCCCACTCATTTCTCTAGAGTATTGGATCACAAAAGCAAAGTAATGAAAACAAAAAGAAAAGTGTCAACACATTAGATAACTGGATTAAAGGAAATGACAAATCTTTTGATCAAAAAAATCAAGCCGCAACCGATACTAAACTTGTCTCACCAGTTGCTACGAGCGAGTCGGACAACGAAAATCCTTCAACGAGTACAGGTTTAGGATTAGGCTCAAGTAGTTATCACCGTAGCTTTTACTTTATTTTGAAATTCAATTTAGCTGTTTTCTCGGGTACTGGGGCTAAGTTAGGTGGATCTAATTCTGTGTCAGCATTACTCTCTCGATGGGATCAGAGTGAACGAACAAGTAAATCGTCTAGGTCAGTTCGGATTTATATTAAATGCAAAAGGTTTATTGCAGTCAAATTAGTAAGAAGGAAATTGAAGTTATTGATCTCACACAAGGTACTCTTGAAACTCCCAACCATTCCGCATCATCATCAGCTTCATCAGAAGAACAGACTGTTTTATGCCCAGTATGCTCAAAGCAAGTTTTAGTTCACATAATCAATTCTCATCTCGATCGCTGTCTGCAATAGACTGTCGACATATCTTTCATTTTTTTTACGAGTTTGTGCATGATCTGTATATAAAAAATAAAAATTTATTATAAACTCTGAAAAAATGGAACAATAGCACAGAAACCTATGCTTTAAAGTTTTCCTCCGTTTAAAGAGGTCTTTTGTAAACGAAGCAGATAACATTGTCTTTTTGAGCTTCACAATGTTCTGTTGTGGACACCAAATAAGTGAAACCAGTTCCGGAGCAAATGATATCGACTGTGTGGTCTGGGAACTTCTTCAAGGAAGCGTCATGAATTTGTCGCTTGGTAGCCAAAGCATCTTCTCTTACAATGTTCTGGAAAGTTAATCGTTACAAGAAGAACGGTTGATACTCTTACCTCGAGTATCAAATCTCTCAAAGGCTTACTGTTACATTTAGCATCGGTAAATGTGGGAGTTCCTCGTGCACGAGCTTGATCTTGAAAAAGATGAGTTGAAGGGGTCAAAAAAAAGAACTTACCATCTGATTCTGGGCCGTTCAATAAATCAGCTTGAGAAAGCTCGTCAGTAAGATCTTTAGCTTCGAGTGGAGCTGCTGTTGCCTCTAGTGGCACTGGTCTTTCCACTTCTTCCATCTCTTCCTCTTCTAACTCTTCGGTATTTCCTCTCTTCTTGGCACGTAAAACAATATATTTAACTTGTGATCCATCGCAACTGGATTCCTTAAAAAAAACAATGAAAGAGCCGTTTTAACGACTGACCTTTCTTCTAACCTGAGAACGGAAAGCCTGGTTCAATGGTGGAACAAAGTTACCGCTTGGGCCTTCTGGTCCATTGTTGGGAGCATCATAAGAGTTTCCAGTACCTGAAACACTTTAAGATAATTGTTTATATGATTGAATTTACCATATCCGCCACCACCAGTAGCTCCAACTGGTCCTGCATATCCTCCACCACCAGTACCGCCGACTGGACCTGCATATCCTCCTCCACCAGTGCCTCCAACTGGTCCGGCATATCCACCTCCTCCAGTACCTCCGACAGGGGCTGCATATCCTCCTCCACCAGTGCCTCCAATTGGTGCAGCGTATCCACCTCCGCCTCCAATCGGAGCTGCGTATCCGCCTCCACCGCCTTAAAAAAAGGTTGTAGCTTGTGATCAAACATTTTATGAAGTGACAAAACCTATAAATCTCTTACCGCCAGTAGCGTAACCTCCTCCGTTACCACCATATCCACCGCCTAAAAAGATAAACTCAGCGGAAATTTCGATAACATTTTTCTCCATAAATAAGTTCAATACTCACCTCCACCACAGCCTCCTCCACCACCTCCTCCTCCTCCACAGCCTCCACCACCTCCACCTCCTCCACATCCGCCGCCGCTACAGCCGGAACTGTAGGAGGAAGATGAGTATGAGTTGCAGGATGATCCTAAAATATTGATGTTCTCAATTTCAGTTCTATCATTTTGCCAAAGACAGCTTTCCACTGAGGAGCTCTTGCATTGAATCGAAAAAGAGGAATCGCTTTCCTTCTCTTGAGACATGATTCAACATTCACACAGTGTTGAATAGGATACTGTTTGGATTTTTATATTAGTGACTTACCCTGGCAAGCTGGAACGTATACGGGGCTAACTTGAGGACATATTGCTGTTGGTGGGGGTGGACATGCTGGCGGTGGGGCGCAAACCGGACAAGGTGCGGGAGCCGGACACTTAAAAACAAGTGATTACGTCGAAGTACAGAAGATATATACCGCTGGTGCTTGTTGACATCCACATGATTGAGGTTGTGGAGTTCCACAGCCACAACAGCAACCACCTCCTCCTCCTCCGGTTCCGAAGAAGAGAGCGGAAGCTGTTGTGACTATGACAAAAATACCGAAAACCCTTAGCATGGGTTAGGTATATATCTGAAAGTACTATCAGTTTTTGCGAAGAAGTGAAAGAATCAGCAACGATACAGACAAGTAAAAGTGATAAGGTAAAAGTCTAGCGGTTTTGATATTATTTATAGGGAAATATATGACCTAATTAAAGTAAACCACCAAAGACCCTGTTCATATAATCCAATACACTCCTAACCTAAGATGGAAAACTTGTAACCGCTTGAACATCTGCTTAATCTTGTTCTTAATCTTTATACATAATTTGATGCGGGACAAGGATATCAATACCTTGCCACCAATAGAAACTACGAAATATCTTGATTTGAAGATAATTTATTAAAACTAAACATTCGAAGAAACTGAACGTGGAATGCAGGAGACTAGAGATATACATAAAACAAACCCGACAATTTAAAGAAAATACTATGAAAAGAGAGTATGTTAGCAATATGCGAGGATGGTTAAGAGTATTAATGAATAAATTTTCTATTCGATTCTCTCTACACCTTGTTCTGGAGACAACATGGTGTAAGCGGTGATATCTGCCAGATCAACACAGTCGGTCTGAACGATGGGAACGACTTTTTTCTTCGGACTTCCTTGAGTTATTCTGGAAAACGACCTACTTGTAAGGCTCATAAATAAAAAAAAATACGTTTCATCTTTATCGACTCTGCTCTTCTCTGAAGTCGTCTCTTCTTCTTTGAGTCTTTCGTCGTTTTCTGGAATAGTAGCTGGCGGCTCACTCTTATCTCTTCGTGCTCTGAAAAATGTTGCTATGGCTGTCTTTACAAGCTGTATACCTAGTAAGATTGGCCATACTATGAGTACGACGAGGTGTTCTTTCATCCCTCTCGCGTTCGCTACTTCTTCTCTCCGAATTCTGAAGAAAACACATTGTCAATTAATCCAGTGGTTCTGTGATATACCTGAATCAGTTGGAGGTCTTCTAATTGATTCATCAAATCAGATACTGTAAATCCTTTCACTCCCGATGGTTGGTGAAGAACATCTAGAGAGAACAAAAAATATAATTTCCTTCAATTCAATTCAAACCAGTGAAATCAATCAGACTCATTCTTGGAGAACTAGGAGCACTCTTACTCTTCTTATCGATAATCCGCTTCCGGTATAGTTCAAATTCTGACCGTTTCTGAAGCATTCAAGTGAAATATTTTATGAGCATATATCTTACTTGAAGTTCCTTATACGTTGTAACATGCTGGCAAGCTTGCCCAAGCAGAACAATTCCACTGCAGATTTTGATTGATAAAAGTAACAACCAGGCAATAACTGTAACAAGAATTTAATAAGAAGCAGCTGGTGAAGCTTACCGCAGATAACAATGCTAGAAATACTATTGAAAGAGAAGGTTTGCCCGAAAACCCTTATAAGCATCACAGATAGAGGGATAGGAATAAAACCCATACGTCTTGACACCTAAATAATCGTTTATTATAACTCATCAAAAAATGTTCATACCTGGTCAGAGTAATCACTGAACGCAGTGGGATCCTTACTTCGAACCACATCATAAGCAATAGTTATCGTGAAGTCTAGGTAAGAGATTAAAACGTGCCAAAGATGAAAAGAAACCTCGATAAACTTCGGCATTAATCTCATTGAATTTAGTTATGAAGGCATGTTTCAGCCAGTCTACAATCAACTCAGCTCCAATCACCATGAACTAAGACACACAGCATGGTACATATTTTATATTAAAATCAAACCATGTCAGGTAGCATTTCCCATAAGTGTTCACTACTCCAGTTAACAGCAACCATATTCCTTATGACAACTACGAATAAGAGAGCCATTATATGAAATCTTTCCCGTACATCACTACAATGAGTTGCGTTTTAACAAATCACGAATTTTGAGGTCAAACCTGCAAGCTATTTGAAACAGATTTGCTTTGGCAAACTTCTTGAAAACAGAGCCTTTCAGTTCAACAAAATTATTCGACATCATAATGGCCAGCAAAGCTTGATTATGTGAGTTGAATGCTACATTAAGAGTCGTTGCCTAAAGAGAAATCTTAACTCGTTTCAAAACTTTCAATCTACTTGAAGTAAAACCAAGAAAGTATGAGCTGTAGCATAAGCCACGGCAAACATGAAATGAAATAGCAAACGAATACTGTTGCGGAAAGTGAAAGGTTCATTTGCGGTCCAAAACAAAGCATCTAGGATGTCCTGTAAATTTTCTCAAGTTGTTTAAATCGAAAGAACTCAAGACTTACCTGTCCTAAACTACTGAACAGTTTATCTGCTACTTCAAGCATATTATAGAAGATATACAGCTTTATGACTCCTTGGCTCCTTACTTCATGGTAAACCACCGAAGTATCTATAAGGATTAGAAGAGCTCAACAAGGCGGGTTTAACACATACCGATATGTTGCATTAAAAGCGAAGCAAACACCATTATTCCAACTTTGATAACTTCGCATGTTTCAGCACAGGTCCATTGTTTGAGTTGGAGAAAGAACCCCGTTACGGACATCTTCAACAAAACCAGATAAGTTTGAATAAGAAGTTTCACTCACGAAGAAGCGTATTGGTAAAAAAGTAAAAAGATAACAGAATGCATCAATACACTGTAGCTGCCCATAGAAAAGGAAACGTTCGGCTTCTATTGGTATCTTGAGGAATTTGTAAACTTTTCTTCTTTTCTCTGTGTAACGGCTCTGATCATTATGGAGGGAATAGCCTCTGTAATAATCAAGGTAACCTGGTTCATTAGTCAAATTGTGAACCTTGTCAATTCTGCCCAACAGTAAGAAGTGAAGCTTTCGTATTCTGTCACTTGAATGCTGGGAGGATCAGCGAGAGTAGGTGTTGCAGGACCTGAAAAGTGTTTTTTTCCAAAACAAAATAAATTATTAACGATACCGGGAGTAGTCTGCGCAGTTTCATCGCAGAACACAGTACATTTTTCTGATATTGAGACATGTGATGGTTTTCTAAAATATAACATGGAGTTGTACGCCGCCAAGATGTGACATACCTTTCTGAGAATTTTTGCCTTATATCATCATCCAACTCATTACCTAATGTGAACTCTGAGGTTTTCTTACTGAAACTTTCGAGTTTGTTGAAAACAAATGAAATATTTCTCGCTTACGATTTTTCCTCGCACTCAAGGAAGTTAAGCTTTCGAAGACGTGGCCCATCGTCACAAACATCAACAGACATAAACTAAACTTTCAAAAATGAACTAACTGCTGAGTATAAGAGAAAATAGAGTATATTAGTAAGAAATAATATATTTAATTCCGTTTTATATTGATGTGAAATGGACACAGTGTTCGGCGAAGTAACAATGCTCTAATGTTATCGTAGCGCGGAAATATTTAAATTTACTTCATTATTGAAATTCACCATGATGCTTTTCAAAAGCAAATAAAGCTGTTCGTGAATATTTTTTTAAACTTTCATTTACATGAATAAGTTGTTTGGAAAGGATATTAAAATTGAAGCGTGAAATTTTCATGATCAAACTTTATTTTTAACTGTTTTTTGGTGTTGAGCGGTTGGTTTTCGTCAAAGTTCATTCTTTTTTTTTATCACACATAACCATTTTTTTACAGGAACAATGAATACACGATCCGGTAGATCGAGATACCGGACCAGTTCTTTATTAGAAGAGATTCGTATGTCGGACGATGCCGAAGATGCCGAAACTACCTTAACAGAGCAATCTTCATCGCAAAACCAATCCCCATCCCCTTCTAAATCTATCAGGAAGAGAAGTGCTAGAATTTCATCTGTAGAAACTTCCACCTCAAAAGAATTGGAAGAGCTGAGGTGAATAAGTCAAACTTTCAATCAAACAGGAACGAATGCAGGTTTAACTTCAAAGAGGCGGTGAGAGGAGCTTTCCAATCTGTAGATCAACATTTGACCCCTTATATTAATCAAACAAAAGCCGTTTTTCTAAAGGTTGTGTTCAATCCTTTTTTGTTTTGTAATTTTCATAATATCAGTTACAAAATAGTTCCCCATGTTACTGGAAAGCTTTCAAACCTGAATTTACATTTCGACTGAACTTCATGGTAAATGCGTTTTCAAATCGTTTTAATATCAAATTGATAGGTTCAAAGCATAGAACCTATAGTAAATCGTTCTAACGTATATACTATGATTGTGGAAGCTACCTTTGCGCTCGCGAATGAAACTCAAACGGCTTCTAATGTGCTGCAACACCTTATCTCTTATTGTGATGGAGTAAGAACTTCACTTCTTTCGGACCTAATAACCGCTTTTAGTTGCAATGTGCTGAAGATCCAGCTGTTCGTTTCAATATTTGTTGTCTAGTTGGCATTCTTCTGGACTTCTGGCCTATATATCCTGCTGATCCACCAAGTCACGATGTCCTAACGAAGAGGCAACGAGATATGTTGTACAGTATCATTCGTTCGCGTCGCTTGGACAAGGTAGAGTTATCATGAAACAGACTGCATGAAAAATATCCTTCAGAACTCGCTAGTAAGAAGCCAGGCACTCAAAGCTTGTCGAATTATTCAAGATAGTCCCATCAGTAGTGATTTCAAGCAAGGAATTGCGTTTGGTCCGAAGGATAGTAAGTTTTGCTTTTGCATTTTCTAACACTTGATTTTTGAAGTTTTACATCAGGCACTGCAAGACAAAGATGCGTTGTGTCGAGTAGCTGCGGTAGAAACTTTAACATTTGATCTCACTTGTAATGAACATGTACAAACTCTAATTGATATAGCTATTAGTGATGGCCACATGCAGGTAAAATGTTTTATGAAATCGAACAACTTTCGTCCAGGTCCGATCTGCCGCTCTACGAGGACTTGTAAACTTGAATTTGAATCTTTTAAGTAAAGATCAAATAAGAGATTTACTGCAATCTGTACTATTTGACACTCATGGTAATTCCTTTTTCTGTGTCTATATCTTTGCTTTTCTAGAATTCGTTCGAAAAGTGGCTAAGTCTGTGCTTCTGAAGGGATGGATATCATTACTTGCTGCGGATATAAAAAAGAAAATGAAACGTATTGAGTAACTCAACATTTTTTCTGAAGAGTATTGCATTATAGGTAAATCCAAAACAGTAAATCCGCAAATAGACTTTAACAAAGAATCTAATCATGGTTGGGGTGCAGGACTGTTCGCATTAATTTCTAAGTTGCCTTGGATAGAGGATCCGGTGAGTTGTGCTTCTTTCTATAAATACAGTTTTATATTATTAGGATGTCGTCTCTGAGCTCATTTTCTGTGCCTTTGATTTAGTCCGGGAGGAACTAGGATCTGTGCCAGTATCCCAATTTCTTCTTTCTTTGAGAGAAGATGAAATACCACCAATACCGATAATGCGTTATAACTGTAACATCGTGATGGAACATGAGTATATTTGGTTTATAAGAATTGTTAGGATCGCCCTCTTTCAGGATGCCCGGTTTGAAACTAGCTCTGTCTTGTTATTATTGGAGATGCTTGATCGAATATACATTTTTACGTACATCTAAATCAACAAACTCTGCAGAGGTAAGGTTTTATTCTGGTTCTCTACGTTTTTTTCATCATTTTAGAGAGCTTCATGTATACATCGTTTAGCTCCCACTTTGAGAGAGCTAGCTGTTCTAGCACGCGGGTGACTTACTTGTTTTTTTTGTGTTACACAATAATAATTTGCAGAGTGAAGACTATTCCTGGTTTCAAAGGCTTCTCTTCCAGTGACGAAGAGTTACAGTACTTGACTATGACTCAAGTTTGTCTAATTTAAGTTTCTTAGAGCTTTTTCTCGAAATTTCAGATAGCATTTAAAGAAATTCTGAAAGCATTGCCTTTTTTGGAAGAAGATACGTGTGGAGTGTAATTACTACAACATTTATCTCTCCGAAAGTATAGTTTTCTAGAGACGAATGGCGGGTAACACTTGAAGAGGCGTTGCTGGATTTCACTATGAAGAAAGATGTGACTGACGTTATAGCGAAACAGCTAGCATATATAATTTACAAAGAAAATCCTATGGTTAGTAATGTCGGAAAACTCCAATACAAAGTCTTCTAGACCGCTTTCGAAGTTTTTGTAAATACTACTGCTCAGTTGGTTGACAAGGATATCAACCCTGACGCAACGATTATGAATGAAACGCTTAGTGTACCCAATCGCGTGTACACAGTGGAGGTCCTCAGGATATTATTTTTCATTTAGTATACTGTTCTCTTCAGGTCAACGAAGTTATCACTGCATATTGTTTGCAAGTAATTAACTCTATTTTGAAAACCGGTATTGTAAAAAAAATGGGAGCTATCGTACAGGATAAATATGAATATCTCGTAAGAGCCGACTTCTCCTATTCATATATCAACCTATCTTCAGTTATGTCCTGCCATCAAGAACAGAGATCCCACTGTTCGAAACTGGGCTATAGAATCTGTGGGTATCCTTGGTTTATTAGATATGGGAATATTAGAACGGTATCTTGTTTTTTTTTCTGAATTCAGACAACCTTCTCTGTTCAGAAATTGGTATATGATGTACAGAGGCATGAAAGTAGAGTGTATCCCGACTAAAGTGAACATTTTCACTCGCATTTCATTAAATATTTTCCTATCTTCAGATATTGTGTATGGAGATCATTTGTGATTGGGCAATACAATGTGGAATCAATAGGAATGAAAACCTTTACGATGCAGAAAAGTTTTTAAATGCATTACATAGCAATTTATTGCCAGAAGTGGAAAAAACTTACCTTCGCGTTTTATTATATTCTTCGTTCAGACAGAAGACCTCAAAAATCCCAATCTGAAAGTTCTTGAGCGTACTATAATCGCGTGCTGCAAGTTCTTCCTATGTTGTCCGCGTTTTCAGGAAAAAGTTGACTGGGAAAAGACAATCAGTCGAATAGCCTGTTTGTGAGTTGTGAATATAGATACATTGTTAAAGATACTTCTAGAGTGTATTCCCCTATATTGGCACAAAGTGCTCACGTAAAAGCGTGCTTATCCCAATTTTTCCCATGTTTCGTAAGCACAAGGTATCGTGATAAGTCTCTCTTTCCTTTAATTTTCAACAAAATTCAGAAGAAATCAAGGAATGATGGTGAAGGTGTTCTGGAACTTGGTGAACATGCATGTGTCGGGAAAGCATGATGAATTGATATCTGAGGACAATCTCAAAACATGCCTAAAGATGGTGCTGGAATTCACAAAGAGAAAAATGGTTACAAACAGCAAAGGGCAAGAGAAGGTATTACTCTCGCGCATAAAAAAAGAAAAATAGAGATTATAGGATTTTCCATCATACCACATTTTGATTTGTAAATCCCTTCTGCGTTACCTCCAGGCTCATTATCTATATAAGAGATTGGTCCTACCATCGTATTGCTTGCTCTACTTCGAATACGAATTGTTTCCTAAGGAGGATTTAGCTTCCATTTTCGAGGATGTTTCGAATGCTTATGTGGTAAGTTCTGTCATGTTTTCAAAAGTATATCGGTTCACTTCAGGTTTTCATGAGAACAGTGGGTGAAAAATCAAAAATTATAATAAACCTGAGGAAAACTGCCAAACGCATTTTGCCTCTATGTGAGGATGTTTTAGAGAATCTCGAAGCTTTTTCAAAGTGGGATTGAGATTATAGATTGTGCAAATTTTTTAAAAGTTATTTCTTGGAACTTAACCGTCCTAACCATTATCAAAAATGTTTTATACAATATTTACTCTAATAGATCTCAACAACTCCTATGATAACAAATAAAAGCTTTGATAGAAAAACGTGTTACTTCTTTCCTCCGGCAGGAGCACAATCGAACTTCCCCCTCACAATGTTAGCCTTGACAGAAATGAGATCTCTTCTTCTACCACCCTTTACTAGAACCTGTATCAAAGATAATCAGACGTCAGAAACGAAGGAAGCGTACCTGTGAATGCTCTTGTAGGTTATGTCCAACTCCAGGAATATATGCACACACTTCATTGCCATTTGATAACCTTACTATAGCACATTTTCTATTACCAGAATTAGGTTTCTTAGGATGGCGAATGACAGCTAAGAAAAGAAATTAAAAGCACGTGTAGACTTCATGGTCTTACTCTTCAGAACAATTCCTTTGAAATGATTGAATCCAGAAATCGGACTTTTATCTTTACTACGGGCTCTTCTTTTAGGAGGTCCGTTTCGATCATGAATGAACTGTAAGAACATAGTGAGACTAATGAACCCAAATGAATGATGAAAACCTGTAAGAAATTGTTTCTACAAAATAACGGAGAAGTGTGGAGAGATGCGACAGATTCCCTCAAAGAACACACTGATCCCGGAATAACAGACTTAAAAGTATTAAACAACGAGCTGATTTTGGTAGAGAGCATCTGTAACTGTTTTGTTCTTTTATATTTCTTTATGTTTAGATAAGGAGAAGCTGTTAGCGATACATGAAGTAAGGAGAAGCTAAAATTGAGCAAACTTTTTCTACGTATTCTCGTAAAAGTTACCTCACTGCGTACGCGTTTTTCAAATTCGCCTTGGCGGGACGAAATGAAAGAGAACGCAACGGTACAGCGTGAAGACTGAATTTCGAACTTTCCGCTTTAATCACATACATCAGTTTGTCTGGGTTAAAACTTATTGGTTAATTTTAGTAAGATGGCTCACATCATCGCTGCGCCAAATGAGTACATGGTGCCCTTCCCTTCCCATGTTTCCATTTCCAAAATCCAGGTTGGTATAGAGTTCACATATTTTTTCATCTTTTCTTGTTAGTTTTGTAAAGTTGCTGGATCACGGTTGATGGTAGCATCCGGATGGGATGGCACTGTAAGAATCTTCAACATTGGTGGAATCGGACAGGCTGACGAAAGAAGGTTCTATTACCACGGCAAGCCTGTACTCTGCTGTACTTTCGCTGTAAGTTCACATAAATTCTTTCTCTTATTTATTAGTTTATAGGATAATACTAGAGTAGTTAGTGGAGGACTTGACCAAATTGTAAAAGTAGTAGATTTGGAATCCGGCAAAGGTATTCGTTCCATATCACTCGTTTTTTGTTTATCGTTTCACTCTTTTTAGAACAAAACATTGGAATTCATAGTCAAGGAATTCGTTGTATGGAATATGATTCTTTGGGAGGTTTGATTGTGTCTGGATCCTGGGACGGAACTGTTAAGGTTTTATTAGTTTTTTTTCTCAAATCTTATCACTATGTTAAGCTATGGGATGCTCGTGATTCTATTCCATGTGTACGTCACACACAAACATTGAGCGAAAAGGTTTACGCTATGGATGTTTTAGGAAATAAGGTTATCGTCGGAACTAAAGACAGGTTTTTTATGCTCCGTGTTCAAAACTTTTATGGAGTTATTCCAGGAAAGTTTATTTGTTCGACACCAGAAAAATGGACACCCCTGAACAAGTCAGAGAAAGTCCTTTGAAGGTTTTTTGACAAAAATATTCGGCCTAATCATATTTTGTTTGAAGTATCAAACTCGTGCATTGGCTTTCTTCCCCAGCGGAGACGCGTTCGTTGTTTCTTCCATCGAAGGAAGGGTTGCTGTAGAGTATATTGATCAAGCTCCAGAAGTTCAGAAGAAGAAATATGCTTTCAAATGTCACAGGTATGATGTCATTCTTCGAAAAAAAAACTGATTCTGATTTATCGTTCAGAGTCAAAGAAGAAGATGGAACTGAGTTTATATATCCTGTTAATGCCATAGCCTTCCACCCTGTTCACGGTACCTTCGCAACCGGTGGTTCTGATTCCATGGTTAATATTTGGGATCCTTTCAATAGAAAGCGTCTTGTACAACTTCACAAGTTTGAACGATCACTCTAATAGTCCTAACAAGAGTAATTGCAGATTCAATACCAGCATAACATCTTTAAGTTTCAACTCAGACGGATCTCAATTGGCTATTGCTTCATCGTATGCTTATGAACATGAGGTGAGAATTCTTGTTGTTACGTGTAAAACCTTTGTTTTCAGGCTACTCCATCACCTTTACCTGATAACCTTATTACGATCCGTCAAATCAGTGACTGTGAAAGCCGACCGAAAACCATGTAATTTCTTTCATTAACATTGTCTTTTGTTCTAGTAAATTCTTTTGATTTGATTTACTCCCGAGTATTCAGTGTATTAACCCGAGGTTTCATTATTACTGTGCTTATAAATAAAATTATATATTAATGAAGTTCGCACTGGTTCTTTTCTTATCTTCTTCCTTGATCAACCTGAAAACGAAATGAGCGCTTCGAGAACACAACCGCTCTAAAAGTTTGTTTGTTGAAAATGAAATTGAGCTTGAACCATATGATGTGGATAGTCATTTACTAATGAATGAGGGCGAAACATAACGTAAGGATGATGTTTGTTATTTGAAACAGAATCAGAAAGAATAAATCAATGGTATCGAAGAATCTGACCCATCCTAAACGCAATGTTTCTCTGTTATCTATGTTTTCTAAATATTGCACAACTTCCTAAACTTATCTACTTAGCTTTCTTTGTATTCGAAACAGATACCTGGAGACTCTTCTCTATCTTTCCAATGTTCTCTGTTAGTCCGTGAGAGCTATTCAGTATTCGGCGATAATTCTATAAAAGCTTTCGGATAACGAAAAAAGAATATCTGGATTACTGGATCTTTCGGCAACTCATTTTTGAATGTAAGAACTCTTCTGGTAATGATTCTCTGGTGTGCAAACTGTATAATAATTGTAATGAGTACACCTGTAGAGCAAAGAATAATTTCTGCCAACACATAGCTTCCTGAAAGTTAAGAATTTAACTTTTTGAACACTCATGGGATCACCTAATTGTGGGAGCTTAGTAGTCTTAGGCATTTCATCTCCTACCAAGTTGATCATTACAGCCAACGATAGAAGAGTTGTAAGTCCCAAAGTCACCTTCAAGTAGCAATATTGAGCATTTGTCATAAAGTGCTACTAACCCTTTCAACCCGATGGCCGTTGTTGTCATAAGGTGTGAACAATCCAAGAAGAGATATCGTTGATACAATGAAAGTTGGTAATAGTAAAACGAAGACGTAATATGAAGACCTTCTTTTGATAACTATTTTGTATTCTAATTCCTGGAATCTCAGTATTGTTTCACTGTCCATGTTAACTTATTACTGAAAACGTCATATTTGCGGCATCCACAGTTGTTTCGTTCGCAACCGATAGTTCGAGAATATCCCATTCACTGTTTCCAACATACTGAATCTTGCTTTACCTAACGAAAGAAGAAAAAAAACACCTCAGAAGCAGAACCTGGGAGTTCTTTAGGAGCATAGATGGTCAGTTCATCTGTTATATAAACCCAAGACGACAAACTTATGTAACACGTTTGGGTATCAAATGGAAATTTGTTTACCTTAACGACAATTGCTTGCACAAAAATCAAAAAGTTTAAACTACATTCAATCGACATCTCGACGTGTACACAGAAGGATTACTAACTTTGACTAGTCCATCATACCTGATGTTTACTAGCCTCCTAGATGCTTCGAGAACTTCTGACTGACCAACACTTAAACAAATGAAAAATGAAAAATGTGATTATTAGATTCTATACCTGTTGTATACTGTAACGTCAGGTTTCCATATATAAGGCTCAGGAACATAAATTGCTTGACGACCCGCATATTCATCAGGATTCCATACTAACTGAGGATCGAACCATTGCTAAATTACTGAAATAAGCAGTTCAAAGTTTCTGAGAACTTGCCAGTTCAAAGTCGGCTGAAAAAACAATGAGTTCTTCCTTCTGTTCCATATAGAGCAGGGTGAAGAAATGGAGAGCCACGAGAACATCTTAAGCTAGTTCGAAAGCTATCTTTGAAAAAGCAACGTACCAATGCGGGATGAAGTCACAGGTCTTATATTATTATTGTAATTTTGAAAAATATTTTTGTAAATATTGTATTCAGAGCTTGCCATAAGTTTGAAGAAAATCCGTTTTCTATGTTGCCATGTGAAACCCACCTCATCAATTATGTGGACACAACACCACATAAAAGAACAAGAGGAACTTTTTCAAGAAAAATTTAAATTTTTAAACACTGTTCGGTTCTCGAAAAAAAATCCCATGAAATAGAGTACTTTGCATGCTCCGAAATCATTGCAAAAGGCTGCTTTCATCATTTCGCCATGACTGTTTGCCTTCATTGACCACTTGAGTACTTACAACCTCTTCTGGCCTAACATCTGAATATGCTAGTTGCAACGTGCAACAAGTCCTTACTGTTTTTTGAAGTATCTAACTAAACTTTAAAATAATTCATATTTGTAATAGGTTTCTCCGGGCTCGACCTCTTCATCTCTGTATAGAGTTGAGAGTAGTATAGTGATTGCACTTTACTGTTCTATAGCTTTGAGTGATGCATTCTACTACCATACTCCAGTTCTGAGCACTGTAGTATTTTATAAGATAACTGTTTCAAGGAATGAGATAAAGTCTCCGTGCTAAGAAAATGAATCATTGAATGCTTGTCTTGTACGCAAACATGGAAAAGTGGATAGAGAACCTGAAGATGGTTCCGAGAGCATTAACAAAAAGTTTCTGAAAAACAATGAGAGGAATCTTCTTGTAATGATTAAACTGGACGTATGAGATTCAATGTATTGTTTATCTAGCATTCCTTCCTTCTACAGAATTAGTTTAGCCAAGTTCTTCCAATAGAGTTAGAGGGTGGAAAGTGTGTCTGGTTTTTCTATCATTTGTAATAAATTTGCTCACGATCATGTCACGCTTCTATATTTATTGTCGTTTAAGAGTGAAAAAAAAAGAATGCAGACAAAGATAAAAATAAAAAAGAGTAAAGAAAAGAAATATGATGTATTTCTTATAGACGTTTCCTTAACGAATGCCTAGGTATCGGAATGTCTGACAGGCCGGAAGTCCTTTTGTGGTTTTCTCTCACTTCTCAATTCATTATGGAGTCTATCCGAACTTTTTATGCGTACGAATCTATATTTTACTGTTTGGGAGAAGGTGAAGTAAGAAGTCAATGAACGCGACGTCCGACAGTTGGAAAGAAAAGATACAGTCTGAGAAAGGACGACATATTGAGGAAATAATAGCTATTGAGAAGGAGAGAAGCAAAGAAAGAAGCTGAGGTCGTCAAGTTGGATAGGTAAACTCAGCCCTATTCATCTAGAGCAACACGACGGATTAGTGACACATCGTCATTTACTTCGAAACCTTCGTACTTTATTCCGTTGGCTTTCCGAGCCTCTTCATATTCATTCTGATTTGCAGTTACCTTGCAAACCGTTAGTGACTCTGATTTTGTGTGCTCCTTCTCATTCAACCATTCCATCTTTCCCTCTAATATCTTCAATCAGTTTTGAAATATAAGATACATTCTGAGCTTGTAAACGATTTCGATTATCATTTTCATCGTTGAATCCTCATAGCTAATCAATTTTTGTTTATAAGTATTGTTGCTTCATAAGTGTGTACAAGAGTTTAATGTAAATACAGTTCCTTATTTATACATACTCTCCCTTTCTCTATCGTTACCTTTTCAAGTGGTAAAACGTCGTCGTTGTCACCCATCAATTCAATCAGTGACGTAGAATTTAACAAACCACTACAGTTACCAAGCTGAAATGATGATAGTATTAATATTAATTATTCTCAGAAAGATTTTCTAACTCTATTCAGAATACTTATTCTGATTTTACTCCGACCGTTTGAGAAATGAAACAGCTTCATATCATTTTGGATCTTCTTATCGTTGTTAGCGGTTGTCTTTTCATTCTAGGACTCATTTTTTCGAAACCCCTTTCACCTGTCTCCCTTTCGTCATTTCACGAAAAAAAAGCTCATTTTCCCATGATGGCAGCTTTCGATCAGTTTTAAACATTTCCATCTCCGATCCTTGAGAGGTTTTGTTTGAAATCAAATAATGATGACCATTGAAACGCAGATATTTTCGTTCACATGCAGTACAGCTCAAAGCTGTGTGTGACATCTGCCGGACGATGGACAAGAAAAGTTTGTGCAAACAAAGTAGGAAATGCAGAAAATGAGAGCGATGAGAGGAGTGGAATCATTCCTATGACCTGGGTAGTTGAGTAGTTGATTTCGTCATCTAATCATTCTTCGCCGGCTATATCTTTGTTAAAGGAACAGACAGATAAATTCATCTGTCTGCTTCATCAAAACGGGCTCTTCATCTTACTCTGTCTTTGATGGTCAGCTCTCTTTCTATTATCTTTAAGGGTGCGACATTGCTTACATTTCGAATTACAGGGCTAAAAAGTCAACAGATGCATGAGTTGACCTCACCTCGAGAATATATTTCAAAATAGACATGACTATGTCATCATGATCGTCGTCATAATGATCAAATGTAATAATATCTCTCATTCGTTTGATGATAATTGAAGCGATCTTCTGCATAGTTCTGTTTGAAAATAATATTAAATCAAGTAGATTCGTCTCTCATCTTCAATATGAATGAGTTTTGTCTGATCAGCAACGGTGCCTTTAGTTGAGAATGCACTTTTGTTTAAACGCACATCCTGTACGAATGCTCTAAGCTTCTAATAATTGGCGGCTTTTCTTTTTTTTCACAGAAGGAATGCTGTAAGGGATGACTTTCGTGCGTTCTTCTTCTTTCTCTCCTAAAATTATTTCAAATGCGGTTTGCGCCGACCAGAAGCTAAGGATGTTCGGAAAAAAATCACGAAAAAGCTTAAACTGTTTGGTGACGAAATTTCCTCCTGTTTCATCAAACACGGCACCTCGAAGATCGAGGACGATGTTTTCCTTTTCAGATGTACTGAACGATTAGATGAGTGCAGCTTCTTCATAGTCCTTAAGCTGCTATTTGTCCAAGAATGGTGGCTAGCTGCCGTGCAGTTGTTTTCATTACAACATTGTCCTGTTCTCCATACCTGAGAAACCGTTTACCGGAAAAGGCTCTCAAATCTGATCTTATTTCCATCTTGTCCAGATACTTGAAAGACTGCTATCCGGCCGATCATGAGCAAGCCGGCAATTGAGAGAAAAATATTTCAAGCTTAAAGAGATGCAGAGGCAAGGGAGTGGAGGATGAGAAGCAGAAATGAGGTGAAGCTTGAAGGTGGAAGCTGCGCTGGTCAGAAAAGCTCCAGAGATACTCAAAACCGGTTCCGAGTCTCTTCTGTATGGTTCTTTCTCTTCCACACACCCATGTCTATGGCTGTCCCCGTGCTCACTCTGTGCAGCATAAGGCTGTTGAATGGCCCATCTATTGTCAGCTTCATTTTCATTCTTGTTGTAAGCTTTTCGCCAACTCTCTTAAGTTGACGAAAACTGCCTGTTTTATCACTTGGAGATATGCCGACAACCACTTGTTGTTCTCTCATTCTGCCCTTGCTTCAAAGCTACAACGATGTTCTTCTACCATTATTCGGAAACTACACAAGACTCCTCCTATAGTTTTCTCAACTAATCTTTCGATTTCGTAATTTTACTCAAACCTACGAGTCCACTGAAAATTCAAAATGTGTTTTGCTTTTTTCTTGTTTCTCACTTTCTCTCCTGAATCTTCTCTGAGACTGTCTGGTCTCCCAGTACTTCGTCCTCTTGTTCTACTTTCTTGCTTCTTTTCTTTTCATCGGGTTCGGAACGCCGCTTTCAACTCATCATCTCCAATTTCTCGTATCTTCAATATTTTACAAAAGAAGCTCTTAAATAATCGAACTCCTTTAAGCTTCTGAAGTTTCAATGAAAGCTTTTAGAGGAATTTTCTAGCCTTTTGTATCAAATAGTGTCTGATTATGAGGTTTTCATTCATTGCACTCACGAAATTTCCCCTTTCTTAACTTTTTGTTATCGGTGAAGTAGAAAAATCTTCATTTTCATCTCATATCCTTGTGTCGTCCATTGTATTTGTGCAATCAGCCTACGGCTTTTCTCAAGACATGTTCCCTTCCCTCATCTTCATTTCGCCAAACAGTCCGAAGCCCAGCCCTCTTCGAGCTCTTCATCCTGTTCTTTCTTAACGTTATTAAAACTAATTCCAATTTCCGCAACTTAAACTATTCCGAATTTTTCTTCAGACGAATTCAAATTTCTAAATTGTTTAAAAGGTGTTTGTAACTTCAGTGATGTTTGCCATTCTTTCATCACAATTCTAATGAACAGCAGGTTCTTGTTTTAGAGATATTTGAACACTTCTTCAAGCGATTCTTTTTTTTGAAACAACAGAAACAGATTTGGGAGAAAGAAAAGAGTCCTCGTTGATGATTTCACGAAAGCTATGATTCATGTTTAGCTCCTTCCGGTTATTTGTTCCGCCTCAAGTTTTTTCATGATCTTACTTAACCAGCTTCTAGTCAATCCACACACTCACACACTCACACGTGCACATACAACATTCATCTACTTCCTTTTTTTTTATTTTGTTTCTCACGGACCGTGAGTAAGAAGAACATGAACAGTTCAAATATGACGGCATTTTCACTTCCTTGATATCAAACACCTCAAGCTTATACTTTTAAATGCTCTTGATTCAAGTTTATTTTTCCAACCAACCTTCGAGAATGGAATCGGTGACAGGATAATTTCTCTTTCCTCTTTTCTGATTCCACTCTTGTACATTCTGTAAGATCTAAAGCTTCTCACTCAAATTCTAAAAGATCTGTCCGGCCATAGCAGAGCTTTTGTCGTTCTTATTTGTATTGCTGTCCGAATAATGTCTTCACGGCTTCCTTCCTAGCCACCTTCATCACCGGCATCTGGTTAGATCTCCCCGTTAAAATACAGCTGATCCGGTCTGGATTTATTGTATTCGTTTCATTCTTGTTCACTTCCTCATTTTTGTTCGAAATCTTCTGTTCGGATTTGAAACCTCAACATTCTAGACATGTTACCCCGGTGGTGTGGGTTCATATTACTTTGCGCAGCCGTAGCTGTAGCCGACGATGAGAGTTTCCTTGGTGCTATGAAATCAATTTTATTTGGATCAGATAGAGTGAGCTTCATTCTTTAATCGTTAAATCAACTAATACGATAGGTAAATGGCACAATGCATTCTGATTCTGTGATGCATCCGCAACCACCCTCAGGAGGATACTCTTTCCATCAATACCTTCAACCAAGTAAGTGTCCGTACACAGGGAAATAAACGAAATTTTTGAAAAACCAGAAAATTTTAAAAAAGACCGAAAGAAATGAAGGCTGAAATAAAAGTAATCAACTCAGTTTTATACAAAACAATACCTTCTCAACGGTTTGATTTTAATACTCGTCAGTTTGACCCTCGAGTTGTCTTTAAGTATAAAGCACTTATCTTTATCTCAACCTATCTTGTAGTTTTTTCTTTTGTTCTTCCCTTTTTCAAATACAAAGAAAAGAGAAAATACGATTTAGAACAAAACCCCAATTTCAAAAACAAACGCAGCTTAAGTGATTGTAGTCTATCAGGTACTATTTGAGATGAGTAAGTCTCAGTTCGGTCTGACGTTCTGAAAATGAATATAGTAATGAATATGAAACTTACCTATTATATGGGAAGCTTATTTTTTGTTTGTCCGGTTTTGGTCAGCACTATTGGCTTCCGACTGTCTAAACGTCATCGGCAATTCCGACAGTTTCTTAAACAATCATTGACGTCATCTACTTCATAATTCCAGAATATTTATTTTTTTTTGAATATTTTAATTTCCGAACCTTCATAGAAAATAAAGTAGAATTATTACCCCACCTTTAATTCTATGTGAACCGTATTTCATGTGGGTAAAGCAAACTGAGCTTATTCTCATTTCTGCAGATGCTGCTGTTCGACAACAATCAACCGGTCAATCATGTAGTCAACCACAAGCGATCGGTACAGGACCGTACAGAATTCCAAGATGGTACATATAATTTATATCATATAGTATACAATGAGATATCTCAAGGTATTTCAACCCAGCGAGAGGTCGTTGCGAACTCTTCTACTGGTCTGGATGTTGCGGTAATGGAAACAATTTCCAAACTTTCCAGAGCTGTCAAACTGTTTGTGAAGGTAATTTTATAAGTTTCAAAAACATATCATCGGATACTGAACTTCTCGACAAGTTTGTTTCTTTCCAAGTTTGTTGTGCTTTTTGATGTGTTGTGTTCTCCCCAATCATTTTCCACTTTAATTCTATTTTCAGCTTTTTTATTTTTTCAACTATCCGAAACAGTTTCATTATCCTTTTAACTTTTAGTTTCTCAGCAACTATATGCCTTATATAGCCCAGTTCTTTCTTACTCATCTCCTGTAATCACTTCTTTATCAACTGGAAACGCTTTACCTGCGTGTAGTTGTTGTTTGCGACCATATTCAACTGGATATGGCAACTATCTCATTCCACGATTTTACTTTGACATCCAGTCATCTACGTGCCGTCCATTCCTTTATCAAGGATTTGGAGGATATGGCAATGTTTTTGATTCGGAACAAAAATGTCAGGCTAAATGCAATGGAGTACAGTCGCCTACAGTTGTTATTACATCGCAAACACAACGACCGCAGGAAACAACCGCCGTTTACACAACATCGGCTCCAAGTGTTCCAACTACTTTGTATCCTCAACATTCAGGTGGCGTTATGAAGCTTTCATAGCTTCAACACCCGCTTATCCTAGCTTCATCTATTTTCCTGAACATACCAAGCTTAGTCGTTGCTTTCTTCCATTGCTCCATATATCAGTTCTTCCTATATTTCCCAACAACAAATATGTCTGAACGATAATTAGACAACATACCTCTAAAGCTTTTACCCTTGTGTGCGTGCCTTTCAGTCGATCCATGCAGTCAGAATAAGGAACAAGGAGTTGGAGCCGTCCAACTCAACCGATACTTCTTCAATAAAGAAACGAAAATTTGCGAACAATTCACATATTTCGGATCCGGGGGAAACCGAAACAACTTCGCCGACTTGTCTGAATGTCAGACTCAGTGCCCAGGTTGTTTCCAGAACTTTCAAACACTTATGGATATTTTTGCGGTGGCTGTGCATGTTTTTTCTCGAACTCCCCATTATAACTGCTATTAACATCATTTTGAATAACAAGAAAAGGGTTTACGAAAAGAAAACTGGTGATTGTAGTAATCTGGGAAATCCGAACCACACCGCATCCAGGAAATGCTAAAGTTCAAAACTATCCTTTGCAGTCTCCCGTGCAGAGACCGTTTTGAGCATGACAACTTTAGCATTTCCTAATTGATGTTGAATACAGGAGTTAATCTTTGTTGTTTAAGAAACACCAAACCCATGTGCGGTCGCTACCAATGGCCCTCTCACTCAATGTTCACCTGGAGTAAACTCATGTGGAGTTGGATACTACTGCCACATCGGAGCAAATACCCAAACAACTGTGTGTTGTCCAAAACCATGTAAAGCGCTTTTATATTTGAATCTAAATCAACGAATCTTTTAAGCTGCTGTTGATAAATGCCAACAGCCACTTAACATTGGAGTTGGAAACGCTAACATTCAAAGGTTTTCAAAAAAATTATTATTACTAAGGCTTTAACACTCATTATGCAGATGGTATTTCAACCCACTTTCTCAACAATGTCAATCCTGTGTCTACAAAGGACTCCAAGGAAATGAAAACAATTTCTTATCTAAGCAAGAGTGCGAAAATTCCTGTCTTGGTAAAGAAGCTCTTCGTTATCTCTTGAAACGGAATATTCAGTTAATCCCTGCCGTCTTGGAACTCCATACAGATCACAAGGAGTAACTGTCCAATGCTCAGCTTCAAACCCAGGTGTCTGCCCAGGAGGATATTATTGTCATATCGGAGCTGATGTTCCAACTTCTGTTTGTTGTCAAGCTATCGGTGCGTTTGATAGGAGAGGAGGAAAAAATGTTACAAAAATAAGCAAAAATCATATTAAAAAAAATCAAATCAAATGGTATACTCAACACAATCCTAGCATGCAAACTCCTTCAAATGGTTTTAACACTTGAATCTCTCTCTCTCCTAACAGCAACAGACCTCCCTCAAGGGCTGGTTACAGTATAATTTCAGCATCTGATTAGAATAAACTTAAGCATGTTTGGTGATGGAAAAAAATTATGGAATGATTATAAACCCTTAAATAGGGTCATATTAATTAAAAGAAATAAAGGTGGGTCGCATGACGGTATTTGGTGTTGCATTGCTGTTTCGCTTCAATTTCTTAACTGTTTTGGTTTGTCTTTGTTTCATTCTAACAGTTTGTGTTTATTTTGTTAGGGAAGGTTAAGTGCCTGAGGTTTCACAAATGCATGTCTCTTATCACAATCACTTCATTTATTTTTTTTTCTCAAAGAGTGTTCGAAAGTGTGAGAAACGAGCTTTTTCTTTAAGCTTTATTCAGTTTTTTTCTGCTGTGCGCATGTGTGATTTGCTTTGGCCAACTTCACATTGAAACCCATTCAATTAACTTTTATAGGCAACAGTCCATGTGAGGAAATGATGAACAAGGGTGAAGGATCTGCAGCTCTCACCAGATTCTATTATGATGCTGGGCAAAGAAAATGCCTAGCTTTCAACTATTTGGGAGCCAAGGGAAACACCAACAACTTTTTAACCAAAGAATCCTGTGAAGTAACCTAACAAGATGTATCGGTAGCTCATTCGGTCTTTTCAGTCCACATGTCCAGTATGGATTAACCCATGTGCAACTGGCCAACCATTGCTTACCATGGAACAAAAACCTTTCCACTGCCATCAGAGAGCTCCTTGTGCCGCAGGATATTTCTGTCATTTGGGATATGATGATGCCACAACTGTTTGTTGTTCATCTGAAGGAGATCCATGCACATTGATTGTGAAAGTAGGACTTTGTTTACTACGTTATCAATAGTTTCCTTTTTTTTAGGAAGGTTACGGCACACAGTCTGTCGGACGATGGTTCTATAATCAACAAACTCGGCAGTGTCAACCATTCACATATAAAGGAATGGGTGGAAACGAGAACAATTTCCTGCTTCGTGAACATTGTGAAGCAACATGCCCTGTATGGGTCAACGCTTGCCCTTCTGGAGATCCCTATCTTTTACCAAATGGAAAGCCTCAACCATGTGATGCTACTAATGAAAACTCATGCCCAATGACTCACTGGTGTCATGCTGGACCTGATCAAGCTACTACCATGTGCTGTCCTGGACGTTCTGACCCTTGTATGAACGCTGTTGTTGAAGGTGAAGGACCTCTCCAATTAACAAGGTATTAGATTATCAGTATACATTATTGTAATCAATGAGTTTAAAGATTCTACTTCAATGCTGCAACTCGACAGTGCGAAGAATTTATCTACAGAGGCTTGAAAGGAAATTCGGTACTTGGATATTTGTTGTTTGTCATTTTTATACTTTTCTACAGAACAACTTCCTCGGCATCGAAGATTGTGAAAGCCGTTGTCCCGTTCAAGTAAACCCTTGCCCAATTACTTTCAATTCCCTTAGACACTCGGTGAGTTATCAAATGTGATACTTTTCAACTCATTCACAAATTTTTAAGGTTAAAGTGATGGCTTGTTCAGCTACTCAATCTTGTCCGGACAAGCATTGGTGTCACGTAGGAGAAACAAAGGAAACAACAGTTTGTTGTCCTAACGGTTAGTTTATAACTTTTATTTCAAATATTTACAAACAACGATAACGGAAAACAAGCTGATACAGCTTTCAAATAAGGACATGCACTTCTGATTGTACAGTCAATTCGTGCAAATTTTGCATCCACTAAGAAAACACGTAAAATATGAGAGAAGAGTGATATAACCTGTGAAGCAACCAGATGAACTTTACGATATAATTATAAATGAAAGGGTCGTATGAAAGGTTCGATATCATGCTTGATTGGATTAACTTGTTTTGTTCTCATTTCCTGACCTCTTTCTCGTATCCAAAGAGTTGCAGCAATCTTGTTCCCTTCAATGATCGGGCAAGCTCCATGCAATGATGTTGTATCCTGCAGGAATAGTTGAATTGTTGTAACTACATAGTTTCAATCTTACTCCTCTTCCTTCTGGAGTCATGTTCATCCATAAGATAGCATCGCCTGGATAAGGCTTGACTGTTGTCGATATGAGAGGGAACGTAGTGCCTTGAATAATGAATAGGAGAATATTGAGATTTCAATTTATCAAACCTCCTCCGACTTCAGCTGTTTTCAAGATGAGGAGAAAAGTAGCAAAACGATTGCCATAATGTTTCATCCAAAAGTCATGATCTTCTTCTCTTTCATACTCTAAGAAATCGTAGTGAGGAGCATAATGTCCCCCAGAGTTATAAGAAAGAGCCTAAAAGTTTGTAGTATGAGGTAATCTGTTACTGCCTACCTGCCAAAACTCAGAAGACTCAAAGTTAATGGAAGGAATTAACCGTACAGCTTTTCTGTATAGCTTAGCGGAACCTTCAGTCTGTTCATGGGTAAACCATGTACCGTTAGCTTGTCTTGAGCTGGACAATATTCTTCCTTTGGAATCATCAACAACATTCTGAACGTTAAACATTCTTCAAATATGTAGTGTGAGCGAACATACTTGATACTCCAAAGAGTTTTGATTGATATCATCAATGAACTGATTTCTCTCGGATTCTCCCGCGAAATGGCGATAAACTAGGAGCAATGGCTTTCGGCTCATGATCTCAACGTTCACTCTCTCGAGATTTATATGATATGAATAACACGACAGATCTGCAATATGTTTATATGCATTCAAAACCTTTCTGTTTAATATTAACCAGCTGAATGGCTGTTGTCGTTCCTTTGATTAGAGCAGTGCTCCATAAAATTGCTTGGCCAGAACTCGCTTCCAAGAAACTTGAATCCTTTCCCATTTGAATCTCCATGAGCTTCGAGCACACTCGCTATCAGAACTACTTTGGCAAATGACACGAGCAACATCGAAAAAAAAAGAAAAATTAATTCATTGATACTCAAGTCAGAGTTAAAGAAGAGCGCTATGAAGAACATCGATTCACGCTTCTCACTTTTTTTTGTTTTTTGTGCAAAACGGAAAGAGGCGTCAAACATCTGACACATGATGTCCTGTGTTTGAACATCTTCGAAGACGTTCAAAAAGCAGGCGAATAATTTGCGTTGAAAAGAAGGAGAATCAGCGAAAATCTGATTGTTTGAACTGCTTTTTTTGACTTATTCGGGTAAATGTCAACTGTAGTAAACAAAAGTAATGCAAATAATTAGTTGAAAAAGATGATTAACACGTTTCTCCTCGGAGTACTATGTCTTCAGACAGATTGCCAGAAGCATGGAATGAAGACACAAACGTGCATCAGGAATAATCGTTCCAATCTTTCAAAAAAGGTCGATGAAGCTTTTTGATAATTCATGGTGAACCAGAATGGACGAAATTTTGTTTCAAAACTTTTAGTACCCATGGGACGTGTGAAGAGGGGGTGGGGGTAGCGAGAGTGAGCATCCAGTTGCTTCCTTGAACAACAAAGTCAATAATCCAGAATCTAGTTTTCCGTGACAAAATGTTTGAAAAAAAAAGATGTTGTCAAACGTTCGATCATTGAACGAGTTAAGAATTTTATATTTAAAATTAAATATTGAGAAATCGTACTCTAGAGAGAGTGTCATGAGCATGTCTGATTGAGATGTTAAGAAGTAACTCTACTTTATATATCTTCAATAGAAGTTTTTATAAAAAACTAACAAATAAGTGTCTCAAACAACAATAATAAGGCAACTGTCTGAAAGTTCAAAATACTTTAAGTCTATACAATGAAATTTTAAAACAAATTCCATTTAACTCCTTGCTCTCTCCCATTTTCTCGTCAATAATGCTACGTCTTCGGGACGAAGTGATGGATTTATGAAGGGGCTTAAGGAAAAGACTGATTTCTTTGTTGTTGTCGACCTGAGTTCTTGTCCTTTTGATCGAACCCAGAGAGAAGCAGCTGAAAAGGTTTTGAACTTTGACTTTTCATATCTGATTGCAAGCTTACCAATTTTTGTTCCTTCAATGATTGGACATGCAGCGTGAAGAGATTTGATATCTTTCCTTAAACTCGGCTCCATGTTGTGCCAGAGAATGACATCACCCACGGTTGGCCTTATATTGACATTGATCATAGGGAAGGTTGTAACTGAAAAAAAGCAAACTTATGATTCAGTTTCAAGCTTTCTTCTAAACCTCCACCGTGTTTAGCAGTTTGCAATACCGTCAGAATAGTAGCCAAGCGATTCCCTTCCTTTGCTATTGTTCCCATAACATCTGTATCAATATAATCATAATGCGGAGCATAATGCCCATTTCTATCATAAGAGAGGACCTGAATTATGCAAATTCAAGCTTGAATGAATATCTATCATACTTGAAAATTCTCTGCTTTGGATAAGTCCAACGAGAGAATGGTCCGTTGAAGGCGATTAAACAACTTTTTGAAAGATGGAAACTCTTCATGATCCACCCATGTACTATTAGCCATTCGATGAGTTTTATGAACTAGAGGAACAGCAGGATCTGTCGTGGCTACTCCCTTAACATATCGCAATTCAAAACCGATAGCTATCTATGTTCAAAAAATAATATAAGATTATAAAGAAAGTTTGAAAACTGAGATTGATGTAATTCGGATTATTCGGATGAAAAGTTGTGTTCCTCTTGAAACGCTTCCCTTTCTCTCTTACAAATGTGCATTCTCTCTCTTTTTCTTTTTCGATACCTAGTCCTAATCCTATTTCTAAAAGACAAAATATTTCCTTTCCAAATATTATATAATTTGTTAGAGTGTTTGTTGTTAGAAACTTACAGCCAATTCTAACTTCATACTGTTGACATCTCCAATCAAACGGCGGCAATCACGTCGATGAATAAGCTGATGATATCTTACTAGAATAGGAGACTTTGAAAGAACTTCAATTTTGAATATGTTCAGTTTATCATTCACCCAATAGCATTTTAAATCTGGAATGAAAGAAATAATCAAATAGTGTGTGAAGAAAGTGCCTGAGCTAGTTGTATTTCCAAATCTGGCAGTCCGACAACCATCCAGTACTTTTGCGAACCATGTCTCTTTGCCAACGAAAGAAGCTTCCTCAGATACGCTATACTGTAAAGGAATGAGAGATGGATGTGAATTTGAGATTGTAAATCACCTGTATAAGAAGAAAGAATGTATAGAAGGCTAACAGGAGCTGCATGAAATTACTTTTCCTTCGACTAAAATGGTCATTCACATTCATCAACCGTTGCACAAACATGACAAAAAGTAATCGGAATGCAATTGAAACAATTGCGAAGATAAATAGATGATGAATATAAACAGTATTGGAGAGATATATATTCAAATGATTGCTATACCTCCTGGTTCTAACGGAAATCTTTAAAGAGTATGATCCACCCACTTCTCTGTCTTGCCACTCTCAAATTTTATTCATTTTAAGCTGAGGTTTTCATTTCGATTACAAATTATTTCAATTCTTTTGAAAATGAAAAAAAGCAATCTGTTAAAAGCATTGAAAGATTGAAGAAGCCTTACTGTCTTCCTTATAGTTTCTTGAGGCTTCCCTCATAGAAATGAGTAGATGTTGACTTTCAATGAGGAAGGGAAGACTTCTCAAATAGTTAATCGAAATATCAATTAGCTGAGACTTTTTTTTGTTTAAAACGAGGGTCGGACGACTAATCAAGTGTAAACACAACATAGTAAAACAGAAAAAAACATTTTCAGCTCCTCCTGATCCATGTATGGCACCACCACGTAATCCAGGACAAGGAGACTACCATGCTACCCGTTGGGCATTTGAAGGGACAACTCGTAAATGTGTACCCTTTGAATACCGTGGCATGAAAGGAAACGCAAACAATTTCCAGTCAAGAGAAGTTTGTGAGAAGAGATGTCCAGGTAAAGAGATTGTTATTGTTGGTGAAATAAATTGCAATCTTTATTTTTTCAGTTTTTGAAAATCCATGCAAAGTCGGAGAGGCATACTCCGTGAATAATCAATACTATCAATGTAGTCCTCAAAACGTCTGCCCAGCAGGACATTACTGTCATGTTGGAAAAGATGCTAATTATTGTTGTCAAGCTTTGGGTTTGTTTCTCTTTAGCTTCTGCTTCTCTCAATAGTTCTCTGAAATGATCTCATTGAACTGTTGAATTCCTTCAATGCATGAACTAACCAGTCCAACTGTTCAAAAATGAAAACGATACTTACGAAAGTAATGCTGGTGGTCCATGTTACATAGATCATATAATTACATAATTTTTACCCTACTTTGGACAACCTTACTTTTCAAAAACTTAATTCTCAAAAAGTGAGTATACTAACCTGGGTCTGAGTATGCCATATGAGTTGAAAAATAGAAATAATTCGGGAAATAAAGGAACTGGGATGGGATGAGCTGTGAGCTATTATAATAACATTTAACAATTTAAAGGAGGTGATCCATGCGGCCAACCAATGGATAGAGGACAAGGAGTTTCCCAGCTTTCTCGTTGGTATTGGAATCAACAACAACAATGTTGTCTGCCATTTAGGTACGCCACTTGAGCACTCTAATAGTCCAAGATCACAAGAATAATGAGATATAATTCCATTCTTATAGTTATTGCGGTCAGAAGGGAACTCAGAACAATTTCTTGAACAAAGAAGACTGTGAACGAACTTGCTATGGTAACCATCACTTCCTTATTTTTCTCGATTTCTTGTTACCGTTTTCAACAAAACAATCATCAAATAACCAAACCCTGTAAGCATGATATTCTTCCTCAGAACTCGACAATCCATGTGCCCTTGGTGAACCTCAGATGATTCCCCAAACCAACCGCCCAATCCAATGTAGTATTCAATCTAACACTTGCTCAGGAGACTTCTGGTGTCATTTCGGAGCTAATGCTCAGACAACCGTTTGTTGTCCGCACAGAGGTAAGGATCTTCCCTTAAATTACCAAGAAAACCTTTCATTCTGTCAATGTTTGAACTGGCAGTTACACTGAAACTGTTTAACCCAACTCTTTCCATTTTAAGAAGAAGGAGATGCTATTTGTCGTCAGCCCATGGTTCAAGGAACAGGAGATGCTCAATTACCTCGTTGGTATTATGACGCTCAAAACCGTCGTTGTGTGCAATTTACCTATCGTGGACGTGAAGGAAATCAAAATAATTTCCTTACCCAAGAAGCTTGTGAACAACAATGCCCCGGTATGCCTTAATTAATTCTCTTATCAACATAATGATCCAGAAGCTTGAAAAACCTTTCAGATAACGATAAGATTCAACAAAATAATGAACAAAAAAACATTCGATATAGTCTAAATCTCATTCAAACTAATTTATTAATCGAAACCCGTATCAAATACGGCACTTACATTTTTAATTCTTTTTCAAGAAATGCTAATTAGATTTCTTTAAACAGTTGTTTTAAATTATAATTAATAATCCAATTTGACCTTCTAGCGTATGTAAACGTGTGCCCAACTGGAAATCCTTTACTGGATAACACAAACAAGCCTGTACCTTGTACCTTCGGTTCTAACTCTTGTGGATCTGATCACTGGTGTCATCTGGGTCTTGTTCCGGATGAATATCAATGTTGTCCTGGAACTCCGACCCAGCCTGGAGCATGCCAAGGCCTCTCTATGAACGAAGGTCAATTGGGTGCTCCAGCTCCAGCAGCTACACGTTATTACTATGATCAAAACACACAAACTTGCCAGCAATTCATTTACAATGGACGTAAAGGAAACCAAAATAACTTTTTGACCCTGGAGGATTGTGAAGAAACGTGTGATGGTGAATATACTGAAGAGCTTGTTGTGTGGTTCTCTATAACTTAACAAATATTTCAAATCTTCCTTTTAACAAATTGTCTGTCTATCTGTCAGCTTACTCCGTGTTCAGTTCTATAGTAACATCCACAACAACATCACTTAACAGATTACTCAGTTTATTATAAGTTCTTCCTCGCTATGCTTTCTTCTCCGGCAAACGAAGCGCGTGTCTAAACGCGTTCTTCCCCTTTCCAAACTTTGGAGAACTCATATTCGAACTTTTTGATAATCCTTCGCAAAACGAATGCTCAGTTCTCCAAAATTAAAATCTGTCTATCCGCTTTATGTTTCAATTTTTCCGGAATTCCATTATTGTACCTAATCAAGCATCTTTCAGTGTTTGTTAATCCCTGTAATCAGCCAATCTCCCTACCTGCCCAGTTATGCTCAGCTAACGGTCCCAATACCTGTGGTCCATCAGCATGGTGCCATATTGGAGCTACATCCGAAACTACTCTCTGTTGCCCCAGCGGTTTGTTATCCTTAACTCATTTTATTCAGCAGGATATTCGTTTTCCCTTGTTTCTAACGAAACTGAATTTTTTCGACTGATGAATAAGTGTGATGTTTGAGCTCTTGAGCGTTCGTTCTTTACAGAAGGAGATCCATGTTCACTCCCATTGTCGCGCGGAACTGGAAACCAATTTGTTGACAGATGGTTCTACAATCAACAAACAGCCACTTGCCAGCCATTCACTTATGCTGGTCTTCAAGGAAATCAGAACAACTTCCTTAACAGAGAATCTTGTGAAGAAAGATGTGGACCAAATCCTTGCTTCGAGGGACGTCCATTCGCTGGAATCGATGGAAGACCACAAACTTGTTCTGTTTCTGCTAATCTCAATACTTGCCCAGCAAACCATTGGTGCCATATTGGAGCTGACTCATCTACAACTGTTTGTTGTCAAGGACGTAATAATTATATTTAATAATCGTGCTCATCAGCGTGTTTCAGTTTCCACAAATGTCTGCAATCTTCCTATGTCAACGGGAGAAGGAAGTGCCAATCTTGAACGTTTCTACTACGATCAATCTTCTCGTACTTGTCGTCCATTCATTTACAATGGTTTGAAGGGAAATCAGAATAATTTTGTTTCTCTGGTATTTAATGTTTTGTAAACTTTTCAAAATACTCAAATCTTCCAGAGATCATGCCAATTGGCTTGTCAACCATTAGATAACCCCTGTATTGGACAACCCGCCACTACTGCTGCTGGACAAGTCCTTTTCTGCTCCTCCACAAACAAAGATGCTTGCCCTGTTAACTTCTGGTGCCATCTCGGAGCCACTCCTGAAACCACCGTTTGTTGTCCAGGAGGTTTGTAAACCTATTTACAACATCAATTCATTTTTCCCTGTAGCTACCAACCCATGCTCTGTACCCTTGGCTCCCGGAACAGGAAACTCAGGGCTTTCTCGTTGGTATTACAACCCTGATGATAGAGTTCGTCCTTGTTTGTCTTTTTTATGAGTTCAAATACCTCTTATAGCAATGTCTTCCATTCCAATACAACGGTAAAAGAGGAAATCAAAATAATTTCGAAAATCAGTCAGACTGTGAACGAACATGTCCAGGTAAATTAGGAATTCGAAAAAAAACGTTAAAAAAATGAAATGAACCAATGATCGGTGTTCTAAGAATCAGAAAAAGTGTTTTCTTCCATTTGTGCATGCTCCTTTGTTCCTTTTAATGGGCGGCTCCACGCCATTTCAGTGTTCCACAACCCATGCATTACTCGGGTTGAGATCGATTCCTCACAAAATCCGAAAACTTGTAACCCTCTATCACAAAAGCCAACCTGTGGAGCAGGTTATTTCTGTTTAGGAGGTGATCCGACTGTATCAGACTCCTCTGTCTGTTGCGCTCGTATAAACCGTCAGTTTCTTTTCCGAATCCAATAGTCATATCGTGGTTCAGAAGACGTTTGCCAAACTCCAATGTCGGAAGGCTTCGGCTTACTCAACATGACACGATTCTATTATGATCCTTTCAAATCTGATTGTGTTCCATTCAACTATCGTGGAAAGAACGGGAATGAAAACAACTTCCTAACATTGGAGATGTGCCGAGAGCGCTGCAAACCAGGTAAGAGAGTCTTCAAAATTATTTTTCATATTCTTTAATTTTCAAGTTACGAATGTATGTTTTGGTGGTCAAGCACCTCTGAAGATCGGGCAAAGGATAGTTCAATGTGATCGAGAAGATTGTCCTTCGAGTCATTTCTGTCACATCGGTGCTGATTCACGAACGACCGTTTGCTGTTTGAAACAATGTAAGCTTTTATTTTTATACATCCGAGAAGATGAAAAGGAGGAAGAAGAGAAAATTTCTCAAAAATATGTCTTATTACCCTATTGTCTAAAGTTTGTTAAGAGAAACAAGCTTCATCAATATATCAAAGATGTGGCGTCACATTCCACATGCTTCAATTCATCTTCGTTATCAACTGTGAGAGAATTTTGTCTGCTAAATCTCTTTTCATCTCACACTTCATCACACTATTATCTACATTTAAAATATTTGAGTGAGAATTTAAGTGAAGGAAAGAAGATGAAATGGATAGCCAGTAAAGAAGGAATGCAAAGCCGCAGGACGTGATGAAGGAAAAAAAGCATTCCAATGTCTTTTTGAAAAAGATAAAGATGAATAGCTTCATCTCTCTCACATATTTGCTCCAAAACTTCCAGAGAGTGAGACAATGAGAATGAGAGTGATATGGAGAGTCGACAATGAATGATAGAAAGAGAAAGAAGAAAAAGAATAATAAAACAAAATGATGTGAAGAATGAAATGACGAAAAAAGAGTCCAAATGGAGCCATTGACGTCATCTCCATAAATCAACCACTTTTAAAGATTGTTTTTATATTTCAGCTAATCCTTGTGATGAGCAATTGATGAAAGGAGTTGGTGATAGTCAATTAAGCCGATTTTATTACGATAGTGTTGATGACGAATGTAAACCATTCACATACTTTGGAATCGGAGGAAATCAAAACAATTTTCTGACGAAAGAGCATTGTCAAGTAACATGCCCTGGTAAGATAGTTGATAATGAATTGAATCTTCATGCTTGATATTACAGGTTACCGTGGATATTGTCCACATGGCAAACCACTAGTCTCTAATCAAACTATCGTTACTTGTGGAATTGACAGAGCTTGTCCAAATGGAAATGTATGTCATGTTTCTAAAAAGAACTCCAAAACCATATGCTGCCCTGATCCTGGTAGGATACTGTAGAGTACAAATGATGGATTGATTTTGTCCTTTTTCAGCAAATTTCTGTTTGTTACAATCAGATTCAGGACAATGCTCTGAGAGCCACAAACGATTTGCATTCGATAAATCAACAGGCCTTTGCACTTCTTTCAGGTTTCTTTTGCATGCTTCTCAGCTGTGAACTTCTCCCATTCTCTTTCAGTTATGGAGGTTGTCAAGGCAATTTGAATAACTTCGATTCATTACAAAAATGCACCGAAGTTTGCTGCGACAAAGGCTTTCAATGAATGAAAGCATGAACTAATCATCAGTTAGATGATTACTGTAGTATCCTTATTTGAGGAATATTTCTATCTATATCTCATCCAATTACGTGTCATAATTCAGTTATTCCCTGTCACTTTCAGTATTACTTTCTATAATCTCACTTCACCTATCTTTCTCATCTATTCACGTGTGCTTTAAGCTGAGAAAAAACATTTAAAAAAGTTTTTTTCTTCTTTTTTTCTTTCAAACTATGTTCAAGCATTCATCACTATTTATCAGCTTCTACGCACGCGCATGCCATCAATTAGCATGTCACGTGAAAACCCACGTGAAACCCAAAACGTCATACCATTTTGAATAATCGCATAGAGCGGTTGCATTTTTTTCTTGAAATTCTCTCTCTCTCTCTGCTTCTTTTTTTTTTTTATCTTTTTTTTTACTTCTTCCTCTCTTTTCTCTCTATTTCCTAGCATGGCTTTACGCTTCGCGTACGAGAACTATCTTTCACCCTTAGAAATATAATTGTATGGATGATAATTACTGTTCTGATTCTTCAGTAACCAACGCCGATCAAATGGGTTTGGGCTCTTGAGCTCTAAAAAAATAATTTTTTCAAATTTATAACAAACCATAATAATAACAATAGCTTATTCATCAATTAATAATGGAATGATGTTTTAGAAGAGCTTTGTCTTCTTTCTATCGACAGAGGAGCATGCAATGGACGTCAAACAAGATATGCCTTCAACAGACAAACAGTAATTGATTTCATAATTCAAATTAAAATTTTAAACAAACATCATGTTCAGAGTCAATGTGTACCATTCGATTACACAGGTTGCGGAGGTAACTTAAATAACTTTGCCACATTGGCTGATTGTATGGATACATGCGGAAACGTTGGATTCCGACGATAATTTTGGTAAGTTAACTATATCATATAAATTATCATATATATTTATATTTTAGAAGATATAATGGACTATAGCGCTTTCATTAAACACAGACTATCGACAGTCTTGTTCTCAATTCAAAAATTGCCAATTATCGCCCAAAACTATATTTGTATATTTGACTGACAAGACTGAAAAAGGAAAAAATCTTTCATTTTCACTTCACATAACACATATATCATTTAATATATTATAATCTATTATATCATATAATTATCAGATTATACCATCATGTCTTCACTATCTTAACCTCCTTCTTTACTCATCATCATGAAATACTTTTAATTTGTAAACGTTTTCATACGTACTCTGTGTGTGTGTGTTGGAGCATGAATCTGCCTTGTATCATAGATACCCGCGTATTGTAGTTTCTCCAAGACATTCAATCTCTCTTCATATTCTTCTTTTTTCTTTTTCATTTTTTTTTTGTTTAAAAAGAAAATAAAAAAAATTTATAAAAAAACGTAAAATGTTTTTGTTGCCAATACATCTGAAACAGCTAATAGCCTAGCACAGCATCATCATCAGCTTCTTCCTCCCTCATCCACTAAAAAAGAGACGCGAAAAAAAAACATGAAAAGTGAAGAAGAAAACAAAAACTTAACACCCTGGGGTGTAAGTTTTTATCGATAAGACACATTTGTAAAGAAATTTTTTATTGTCACACAGATTAGATTACAATAATCTTTCATTTTTCTGCTAAAATTATAATTTCGTCATGCAACTGATGTTGTAAAAGAAAAAAAAAAGATATTTTAAAAATTGTTTTCGGATTGCCAGTTGATGCAGAAGGTTGTTGTGGACACTGCACTGTTTCCGGTTCAATGAAATATTGCTGCTGTAAGAGGGGGGGGGGGCAGATAAACTATACCAAATGGTATACGACCCGTGCCACTACAACCACACCCTATCTCATACTTCCTCTCTTGCTACACAATCTTCTAAACTTCCTTTTTCCCTCCCTCCCCCCCTCCATCACCCCCTTCCAGAGCCATTGGATTGTAAGGCATTTCATTAAGTTGAGCAGATTTTCTTTTCTATATTTATTTCTCTCAATCTCTTCTTCAACCTGATGTGACACGAAATTGATGATACGATGAAGAAATTGAAGAGACCAAGTGATTTACAGATGAAAAAGAAAATAGTTGGAGACATAACGATGAAGCTGAAAATAGCATTATAGTAAAGAGGAAAAAGATTAAAATATGTTCTGATGAGACAATAAGAGATGGTGACCACTAAATGCATTCGAGACAAGACATGTAGCCAGTAGCTTATGTAATCTCAAAAAAGCTTCTGAACATCCCGGAAAAGCTAGACGTTTGTTGATGTTTATCAAGTTTTCATTACACAATTTCCAACATCAATCCGATAATTATTGCATGTTGTTCTTGAGATTTTAGTACTCTGAAGATGAAAAAAAACTTTTTTTCTCCCCCCAATTATTGTATTTCCGGTGCGTCATTGACAGACAGGCTTGTCAAAGAAGACATGCACATGATAGCCTATGCCTCTCGTGAGAAGTGAAATTAGAAAAGATGTTCGAATTACGGTATTTCCAACATGACGTGTCGTATTCTAGGTGAAAATGCCATTATCTAAGTGAATTCAAAAATTTCATTAAACGAAGTGTTGCTGGCCGCTATCATGCCATTTCCTTATTTGAACATGAACATCTCGTCATTGCTCCTTATGAGTTTGCATAAAAAAAACGTTTCAATGATGAATCATGTCCGGTTGACTTTTAAAATTGGTACAATGCCTATTAGACTTTTGTTGTATAGACACAGAGATTGAAATAGATAAAAGATAATGAAATATGATGAGAGTAAGAGAGTTAGAGAGAATTTTGTGTCAGCTTTTCAATCAGTCGAGCTCCTTGCAGCAGCACCAAGCGGTTATAGCTTCACAGCCTCTTATATTTCTTCTTCTTTTCTTCTCCTCAGTGACATCCATCTAGTTAGAAATCATTCAGCCACAATCAATCCATGATAATTAGCAGCATAATGAAGGGATCATCAAGCATTTTCGTGCATATGGCATCATTACTAGTGAGTTGATATGATTTTTACCTGTCAAAATGATTATAAAGAGTTGTAGCTAGAATGAAGGGAAAGTAGGATAGAGAGAGAGGGAGAGAAAGAGAGAGGGAAAAAGTGATACAGAGAGAGAAGAATAAAATAGAAAGAGAGGAAGAGAGAGAGGGAGAGAGATGAGATAGAGGGATAGAGAGACAAAACTAATTGTAATGAAAAAGTAAAGAGATTGTCAAGTGTTTTGAAAGTGTTTTCAGTTTTCCGGAATAATTTTTATTTTAAAAATATTATATCATTGTATGATATTTATAGGTTTTATTACACATAGTCCAAGCTGATGATGCTATCAGTGCTCATCCTGATTTTCATGTTATTCTCCAACCGCCTTACTTCCGCAATCATACAATTCCTATTCTGGTACGTTAAGCTAGATAGCTTGACCTATAACTTAACTATTCTAATTTTTTCTTTTATTATAGATGACAAACCGTATGTCTGACAAGGTAGAAGTGCAAATAATTGATAAGCTTATTAATAAAGCCGTTTTTGACGTTGAACCCCATTATCGGTATGTTTTGTGTTATTCAATCCATCTATCAATATGTTATTACAGAATGCTTGATCCTTACGGATCTGAATACTTCTATCTTCGAATTTATGATGACAGAGACTTCCGTCCACGCAGATTCATTGTTCAATGGAAATCTATTCACTCAAACATTAGCCGTCGCAAAATATTCCGTTTCAAATATCCAGGAAATGTTCCAAGAAAATTTCAGATGATTCCTCATCACGGCTAACCGTGTATGATTCATATATACATAATTATACATAATTACTGATAATTTATTTTTTTTAATTTTCACAAATAAATATGTTTAGTTGTAGGACAATAAATAAGATGATGAGAAGAAGTATATGTTGTTAAACGTGTTCGTTGAAAGACGATTCAGTATGTTAAGAGACGTGCTTATATGTTGATATCATGTGCTGCTTAACAGAAGCCACAAGTTCTGGGACATTGTTGTCTCATGAGAGTTCTGTAGGTGGCATCGTTACACAAGTTAGCTCTTCTAGCACAGTCCGAAACTCCACTTGGGCCAGTCAAATCAACACATGTGGTGGCTGAAAATGAAAAAATGTCTTTGATCATTGAAATCTTAATCCTACTTGATGATGTGGTGGTTGAGGAGGCAACTCCGCATCTGTTGCAAGTTCTTGGGCATTGAACTGTCATCAAGTCATAGTATACAGAATCGTTACACAAGTTGGATCTGGCTGGGCAGTCAGAAACTCCAGTGCGAGGATTGGTCTTATCGACACAGCCTGTAAACAAAGCATGAGCTTATATGGGACTTATAAGTTATACTAGTGGATGTTGTCGAGTTATTAAGGACGCAGCAGTTGGCGCGACCAGCATCGCACTGAGTTCCAGAAGGGCAAGGGGTGGTGCAAGCTATAAAATGTGTTGTTCTAATAATCATACTTCAGTAACTTACGTCCTACATCAGTTCCTGTAATACATGTTTGAGCGAAGGTGGAGGAAACGAGAGCGAGAAGAATGATTTGGGAGTACATCGTTAGCTTGATGACCATAATGAGCGAATGTCCATTTATATACACATTGCTTCATTTGGTGGATCTACATGTGATTAAATATTTAAAGAGTTCAACAAAAGATAAACAAAACAAAACAATAAAGAACAGGAGGGATTGTTTCATTCCAGCAGAAAGGAATCCCCCAGAACTGAAAGTTCGGACAAAAAAAAAAGAAAAAAAAAGAGAAAATAATTCTTTGATAAAAATCATTTGATTCCAAAATCGTAATAAGAGCTATCATGTTTCAAAAAGATGTTTGACGATTACGGTGAACGATCTTCCGCCTACAAGCTTGAGCTCGTGTATGCTTAATATGACTAAAAATGACTTTACCCCGCTTTCTCTCATATTTTTAAACCTCACACTACCAAAATTGGCGTAAGTGATCATCGACCAGTTGAATGTCTCCAGGCATATGACATTTAGAGCAAGTTGTAAAAATCATGAAAGTTTATTGTGTTGTATCTTCAGAAAGACTTGTTGACTCAGTTGTTTTCCATAATACTTTGTTGAGCATAATGAGAGATTTCACTTATCACATTGAAAACTATTTGTTTTGTTAAATGAAAGAAACTATTTTGACAGCTTACGGCCAATGAAGAAGCTGGTAATGTGTTAAACTATACGATTATGTCAATATGATTCGACCATAGCAGCGTTCATCTGTATGTTAATGAGCGATAGTATGTTCGAGTGTGTGTGTGTGCTGTGTGTGTGAGTTTCATTTTCAACTGCAAGTATGCATTGACCGGTTGCTCTTCCTTCAAGCTTCATTTCCATCTCTCACGAAAAAAAAACTTTTTTCTTTTTTACTTTCAGATATAATGAAAAACAAAATATCACAATTAAACGATAAGAAGGGGGATGAGACCCATTTTACAAGAAAGTTGTCTCTTCTGTATAACAAAGTGTTCTAATCAGTTGACGAAACACATCAAAACGTATTTGATTTCATTTATTCATTTGAGCAATTTGTGATAACTTCTTTTGATAGTAATATGACCAATAGACAATCTATAACATAGCATTAACTATATTAATTATAATATCAACTTACATTGAATATTGCAAATGTGGCTGGAAATAGAAGACTAGAGACTTGATCAATCTTTTCCGGAGGCCAATTGATTATATCCCAAAACCTATAAACAGTATATGGATGTATGATAACGATGGCATGAATGATACTAACCAATCGAAGTTGATGTATCGTCTCCAATTTGATTTTGTTCTTTCAATTGGCAACATAAAGCGTTTCTCATATCTACATAGACCTGCTGATGATGATTCAAATGTATCAATTTGTTGAATATGCTGCAGAACAGAGATAATTAGTTAAGCAAAAGCATATGTTTATACCTTTTTGTGACAGGTTGAAATTCGTCGTTTTTTCATACATTCTTCGTTCTTCACTTTGCTCCCCACTATGGCTAGTTCAAGTAGACTACTGAATATGAATGTCATTGAAACTAGCATCCAAACGTCTAAAACAAGAAGAAAACAGCATATCAAAATGAAAAACAAAAAAAAGGGGAAAAAGAAGGTTTTTAAAAGAAAAATATTTACCAATCGCTTTTATATATGAAACTCGTGGCAGATTTCTCATAATATTTCCGAATTGAAAGATCATAGCAAGTAAAGCATTAACTCCTAACATCGTTCTCGCAGGAATGGCTTTAGGGCCCAATGAGAAGGATATCCAACTGAAACATCATGTGTTCTCAATCTTTCCGTTCAAGCTTTTCATTAGCAAACCTTATGAAGATTGTCAAATAGGTTGGTAGATAAGCTTGCATAAAGTACCAAATATGGCGTCGTTCGAATGTTAGCCGAACATGCAGTTCATCCCACATTCCCGCTGGATAAGGCTGAAGGTGATTTTTGATTTTGAAAAATATTATTTTTTATCAATCTGAAACCTCTGTGACTCGGGAAGGTTTCACTTTTATCAAATCGAAATCCGGCAGTACAATTGGAGCAATTGTATACACGGGTGATGGATCACGTTTGGACCATCTCATTTGAACTTCTTGATTGTTATAGTTAAAACTACAATGAAAACATATTATTTGTGATTAAATTATACTTATAATAACCTTTCATATATTAAGAAACATTCTTGAATATCTAATGGAAATAGTTCTAATGATAAAGCACATGGCCCTTTGACATTTACACGCTGAAAGTCATTATGAATTGAGTGGGATGGATGTTATCATATGAACTCACATAGTTAACCCATACAGTTCCATTAGAATACAACATGAGAAAAACATTTCTGAAAAAAATGAATTTGTCATTAAAAGACTCAAATGAATCACATGAATGCAACCACTCAACCCGATTTTAAGCTTCAAAATAAGCATCACGTCACTAGTCACGTAAACGCTTACAGATGTGTGGTTGATGAGTAAGGATAATGGAAGAAATCAAATTTGTTTTTCACGCTTTTCTCTTTTTTTTTAAGTTTTCGAGGGATTCAATGAAATTTTCTGCCTTCCAGTTTTTCTTGTGGTGATTCGCAAATAAATTCAAGTCGTAGCTAAATCCACAGGTATGGAGTTCAATTTAGTCGCTTCAATGAGTTTAAGCCTTGAGATCATAAATTCATCTAAGCTAGAACTTGAACTCAAAAAGGGGAAAAAAGTTATTGAAAATTTTCCTTGTGTAAGATCATTTCTCCCTCTCTCTCTCACTGCCTGTGTGTGCATGGCGTCATCAGATTTCATGTATGTTCTATGATCAGTTAAGTGAGGCATTTAAAGTGAAAAAAAAATTTCAAAAAAAAGGAATTAGGCAAGAAAAAAATAAGAAGAACAACTTCTTTGAGGAGAAAAAAATCAGTCAAAATAAGCAAAAAGGACATACTTGAAAGGTGAATCATGAATTTCGGCAAATTTACTATTGATAAAGCAGCTATTGGGTGTCCATAGTCGTTCAAGTACCTCAAAATAGATATTTGTTTACAAAATTTTTATTGCAAATAATAACAAACCTGATGACTGAGGGACAAGTTAGCTTTACATGGTGACATCGTCTCAAAATTGAGAGCCGGATCAAGCCATTGCTCATTGATGTAAATATCCATCTAAATAAGGAAATCATACTTATGCATCATGTACTATCGCTGAATGTGAACCTCAAAATCATTTGTAATCTCATTAATAGATGTAATGGCTTGTATCCAGAACTCTACTGAAACCTTTACTCCGTCATCTGAAAAGAGAATGAAAAAAATGGGATTATTATTTGAATTTCCAATAATTTGACGAACATGGCCATTTTAAGTTATGGAGAAGCTTTGAGTAATCGAAGCTCCAAAAAAAGGATTAGAAAGACGTAAGATGCTTGTCTTTGGCCATGTTCAAGACTACCAATGTTCTTTTTCGTTTCGAAGACCAAAAAAAATGAAAATTCCTCATAATTTTTGGGGTCAAAAAAGGAAAGAAGCTGCTCTATCCAAATCAAACGGTTTCTTTCATTTGTGCTCAAACAGCTCGATTGCGAGAGAAAGTGCACGACAATTTCGATATTAAAGGATACGGAGAGCCTTTAAAGCATTGTTTTCATGCAAATTATGTTCGAAAAAATTGAGGAAAAAGGTTTTTTTCCTCTATTCTCCCTTCTCTCTTTCTCTTTCCCTCTATCACATCACACTCTTCTCTTGTATTAACTAAAAGAGAAGAGAAGAAAGAAAAGAAACGAACGAACGAACAACCGAATGAACGAAAGACAATAGATCATAGAAGTGTGTTTCATTAAAATATTACTTGGAATTCGATATTTGTTATATCCAGTGCCATTGAGTAATCTATCAATAATTTGTGTATCACGTGTACAATTCTTTTTTGAGCCTCTTGTTGGATGATCATCTTCATCTGATGATACATTGTAATCGCTGTCTATGATTATTCCAGATACGGTTATGGATAGAACAACTATTCCCAATAGAACACGATTCATATGCTGAAAGTAAATAAATATATCTTGAAATATAAAGAGGTATACAAAGAGAGAATATAAGATTGTAAGAGTAAAAAGGAGATGTAGTGAGGAAATGTAGAAACCGAGAGCATTGCAGATGAAGAGAAGGGGAGAGAGAGACGAGTTTATAAAGGGATAGAGAAAGATATGAGTTAATCGAGTAAAAGAATGCAAATGGTTTACCTTTAGAAACATGAAAAACATCTGAGAACAACAGAGATTAGAACAACAACAAGAGAATGGTTAGTTATGAGCAAATAAAAGCAGAAACGTATAAGGAGAGACCAGATGAGGTAAAGCATTAACATCGACTCCGCCTTCTTCTACTCACGTTGACATAAAGATGTGAGAGTATAGAAACAACTTTAAAATACTTGAAACATAACTCAAATTAAATGCTTTTCACAATAAAAAAGACCTCTTAGAGCTAGACACAAGGAAGCGCATAAAGCTGAATCAAATGCTCTATTAGAATGTTCCTCTTGAAGATGTCTAAGTGCGAAAGAATAAGTGATTGAAAGATGAAGCTGCTTACTTTTTGTCAATTTCTTAATACCAAATAGATTTTTTTGCAGTTGCAAGAGAGAAACATCAAAGGAATGTGCTTTTCTGGCGTTCAGTTTTCAGCAATCTCTCTATCTGTCCATCTAGCTCTCTGTAACTGACTGGCATTTCATTTCTTTCTCTAGTTTTCCCTCTCTATGTTTCTTCATCTCTATCTCTATATCGCTCTCTTTCTCTCTATTATAGAGGTAATACAAAAATGATACTTTTTTAACAGATTATTTGATTAGGTTTATCTAATAACTGAAGTAGTAGAATGTGAGGAAGCTGGATAGCAGCTCTTTCAAAATCCTCACACAAATATGAGAAAAAAAAATCATAGAAAAGGAAAAAAGAAGGAGAGCAAAACACGACGAACAAAAATATAAAAAAGAAGAGAGATGATATAAGTTATGAATGAACGAAGAAAAAACGGAATAAGTGGATAACTAAGGAAAACTAAAGGGGCAACAACCGCTCACGCGCTAACAAACACGTGGAATGATGTCCGTAACTTGACGTGAAATGTACGTGAAAATGACATGAAAGTATTTCTTTTTTCAAATTTTTTTCTGAATCAGGAAGAGCATCTGAACATTACTACATACAGAATATATTGAGAACTTTGAATTTTTCGTAAAATAAAAAAAAAAGAATAAATTTTTGCTTTTTCAACTTCTTCATGAAAAGCTTTTCACCTCCCATTTAATTGAAAGAGAAAGAAGGCAGAAGGAAGCAGAAGATGTGGGAAGAGAGCGAATAGTTGAGAGTTGAAGATGAAAGAGGAGGTAGTGAGAGAGAGAGGTAGATAGAGAAACAGAGAGAGAGAGGTAACAGCTATCTTATGACTTTATAAACTCCTTATGAGTTTTTTTTTCTTGCTTTGAATGATTTAATGCAGTCAACGTTTGTTCGAATGCTGTGCAGGATATCCAAATAAGTTCAAAAGTAGAATCAAACTTTAATAATTTCATGCTCGTTAGGTCAGTTCAAATCAAGCATGAGCCGTTGGGTGAATTTCAATAAATATCCCGTTATGCTGAGCATAAAGTTCATATTTAAGTATAAAAACTCTTCGTTTCGCTTCTTTCAGCTGTTGTGAGCAGTTATGAAAAGGTTTTTTTTTGTTTTTTTTCTTCTTTCACTCTCCGAATCTGACTATTATAATTCAAACATAAGGTATGGCTAAGCTGGCCAGGGGGGGGGGGGATGGAGGCGAGGAGAACAAAAAAAAGAAATGACCGAATGAAGGACAAAAGCAGGTAGGATCAACAGCAAACTTTCAACTTAAGCGGAAGTTATTAGGTTAGTCGCAAGACCGGAAATGTGCCAATTTAACTTTAATTAGCATATAAAAATGAAGAGTACTTGAAGGTTTTAAGCTCTAACTTCCTCTTCAAGTAAAATAATCGGCAGAAACAGCAGAAGAAGACGAAGAAAAAAACGCTGACAATCATGGCTCATTAGGAGACAGTGTCGCGAAAGAAGATGAAAATGAAAAAAAAAAAAAAAAAAAAGAAGAAAAAAAAACGAAAAAGTTGTTACGTTCAGATGAAGCTTAGATGATATGGAACGGAAGCGATAAGTCCCGTAATGTTATGAGCAAGAATAAGCTATAACTCTTAGGTTATGCTCCATTTTATGACCTGTTTACTTTTCTTTTTTCTTTTGCTGACTTTTTTTTTCATAAGAATACTTGGACGACAGACTTCAGATGCTCAAAGCATTTTCGAAATGAAGATTGTTCTGACTGCATCGGCTTCTTGTGCTGCATCTGCTGCTGTCCTGAGAGATGACAAGTTTTATATATATAATATATATAATATATATTCGGGCCCATCAAATGTTCAATTTTTATTAAAAGAGCTTAAAACGTTTTTGCTATTGCTGCTCAAGATAAATACACTTTTGAAAATTCAAATAATAATTAGTGTGAGATGAGAGAATGATGAAGAAAAAATAAAGTGAATGGAAGGTCAAAAACGGAAATGGACATGAGGCTGTCAAATCGACAACCGACGTCTTCAACACTTCCAAAAAGAACGTAAGGAGAAGAAGATTAGTGAAAACCAATAGATGTGTAGAATGTTTTGAGAAATTAACGAAAATTTTCTTTTTATTCAGACTAATGACTTTGAGGCTTCTGTCTTTATCTTTTGAAGAAGCATTGAAGAGCACGATATCTATCTATTTAGAATGAATATGTTTGTATTTATAAATGAATACAGAAAAAATACACTAAGAATATAGGGAGAAGCTTCAGATGATGATGATGTGTAGGAACGAGATTGCATTAAAGTTGAAAATTGCCATTTTCACAAAAGAAATTATATGATGAAACGAGGGAGCTGAGAAGTAAATTATTAGTCCAACGAGCCATCAAAAGTATATAATTAAAATTAAATTTTTAAATAAATTATGAGAAAAAGAGCGCTAGAGAAGAGAGAGAGAAAGAGATATAGAGAGAGAGAGAAAGTAGAGAGAGAGAAAGTTATGAAGATGGTGAATGGAATATCTTTCGATGTAAGTAAACAGACAAACATGTTGCCTAATACAGCTCCAACTACCAACTTGAGAGAATCATCGAACCTTCTTTTTGCTTTAAAATTTCTTAAAAAAACAAGCTAATGACTATTAATAGGGAAATATAGAAAGGAAATCGTTAATGTAATGTATCTTAAGTTGTTTATTTACTCAAGAAAATCTTTTTTTCCATACCTCGCTCTCTCTTCCTTTCTCCTTCTTCCTTCAACTTTCTCTCATCTCACTATTCCCTCTCTTACTCTTTTCCTTTCAACCTCTCTCTCTTTCTCTCTCTATGTATCCAGCTAATCAACTCTCTAACACGAAAATACCTATAATTGAATTGAGAAAGGGAGATTATAGAAGAAATTTCAATGTTTTCATATGCGAGAGGTGTATTTGGAGTGAGTGTTAGTTTGCCATTTGACTGGGATCAGTCTTCTAATTTATTTATTGTGGTTAAGCATCAGAAACAATTAGGATCAGACGATTGTGGCACATCTTTCTCAAAGATTCTTCCTCGAGTTCTTCTTCTTCTTGAGCTCTTAGTTTGTACTCGGATTTTATATATTTCTCTTTCCACTATACTTATGAAAAGGAAAGATAGAGAGAGAATAACATTGAGAGAGAGAGAGATAGAGTTCAAAGGCAGTCGAGAGACTCTTTTAATCATTTTTTCAGTGACGACAAGGCGAAACGTTATTTTTGATATTCCGAACGTTGTCAAATGCATAGAAGTTTATACTAAGATCTTCATGTTTTGCTTCTTCAGCCAAGATGTTCAAGTTGAAATCTTTGACAAGTAATGAAATTAGAAGACAACACATCGAATTTCAGTCTATCTGATTAAAAATGATGTCGATAAAATTTTTTTTTTACTTTTCAAAAGTTCTCTTCCATTTTTTATTTCATGACTTCATGAGATTCGGATGTTCATCGACCTTTCACAGGACAAAAAGTCTAAAATACAGCGAATACTCAAAGATTGGCTAATGTCTTTTGATTTACAGTCATTCCTCATTTACTTTGAGTTTAAAATAAGTTCAACTTAGATTAGAAGAACAAAAGTTGGAAAGAGGTTTTCGCAATTGCGGAATGAGCAACTTCACGGAACATCCATAGGATGAAGCATTTATGAAAAGAGCTTTAGAAGGAAAGAAAAGAAAATGAAACGAAGATATAGAGAGGGAATAAGAAAAAGAGATAGAGCAAGTATGGCAGTTGTGGAGGATGAGAGAAAGAGAAACAGAGGATAAAAGAGGAAATGTTGAAAAGCTTTGGAATATAACCAGCCCAAGAAGATGTTTAAGGTCGAAGTAATTATAATAAATTGGCTCGCATCATTTACTTCCAGAAGCACATAAAGCCTATAATGGCAGTATAACTTATGAAGCAAAAACCAATAAAGTTCAAAAATTTCAAATTAATGAGAGGACAGAAGAGTTTTGAGCGTAAAAGAAGAAAACTAAAACGAAGGTGTGAGATCTACGGGGATGATAATAGATGATTGATCATAAATAATCATTTGATACAACACCTGCTCCATAGTTAAGAAATTAATCAAAAAAGTAAAAAAAAAATGAAAAAAAAGTTTGAAGAAAACGAAAAATAATTCGCAGACGATGAAGTTCCAACTAGTCTTCTCGGAAATTAGAATACAAATGGGTGACAGCTTCACGTGGGAAATCAGAGTTCACGTGAGATGGACGATGTCATTTAATTGTTGAAAGTTGTCGAAAGCGGTAAGTCATCTGTGTCTATGTGTGTGTTACAACTAAGATAGCATGAAGTGAAGAACCAATGGGTATTTCTTACTGAAATTAAAGGAGAAAATAGTGAGAATGTCAAGAACCTAAAGCTGTGAAGCTCTTTGTGATGTGTTGGCAATTCGCGTTGACATCAACGAATACGCAAGCTGGAGAGGAAGTGTGAGTGAGAAAACAGCTTACATTTTTTTCTTTAAAAAAAATATTCTGAATAGCCTTTTGTCTGAGTAGCTGCTGAACTCGGCTGTAGAATATTTTGATTATTATTCTTATATTCGAGGGTGAAGAAGCTCCTGCTTCTATGATACAGGGCGAATAAAAAACTAAAAAAAGTAAAAACGCAGCTTAGTAGTTATTCACAACGAATACATGAAAGTACTATCCGTTTCAGTAGCTGCTCATCTTAGTCAATATCTTGAAGGAAAAATGTTTCAAACATTCAATGAGGCCGTTCATCAAGCTGTTCAACCGGTAAGCTTTTAAAAAATGCTTTGCAAAATCCTCAACAAGTTTTCAGAACATGATGAAATGCTATCTATTCTTCCATCTCATTCTGATTTTCTATCACGCGACAGATAACTATTTGTATGGTAAGCAGAGCATTCGATGAAGAAAAATAATGTTTACTGTTAACAGAATTTATAAAAATAATTCAATTACTGGCAGGGTTAACAGCGTTCACATCAGCAATCGTCGGTGTATACCTTCGGAATAATATTTTCATTTATCCCATATTACTAGACTCGGTATGTTTCATCTTTCGGAATCTCTTATTGAGAATGAAACAAAATCTTTGTTTATAGTGTGCTCGGTTCATATTTTTTGTTTTTGGAATGGGATTATGGGCAATCAACGAATTTCTGCATACACCTGAGAAACAATTTGAATTATTTTATAAAGCTCCAAGTGGTCATATCACTCTCTAGTCTACTCATTTCTACTTCCTTATTTCAGTTCTTACAGCATCATCTCATAGTCAATGGAAAATGATGCATTTTCTACGATCTTCTATAGTCATTATATTCTATGAGCTCATGTTTATAACTTCACTATTGTTTATCAAGGTGATACTGACATCATTCACGCCTCCTCTTACCTTATTACAGCTTAATAGTTCGAAAAACTTAAAAAATGAGTGTGATGCCCCTCCGTTGTACCATGAGGTAGTTGAAACTTAACTGATCTCCCAAGATAACATAAATTAAAGATTACAACTGAAGCTGCCAATTTGCCACCTACTTATTGTACAATATACCCTCATCAAACATAAAATATCTTAGTCTCATTCATTTTCATAAAGGAAGACGTTCATTCGTGTTTTCAAATATAGCCAAGTCTATCTATAAAGATATCTAACTGCGTAATTCTAAATATATGAATTTAGCCAGCTAATTTCGGAATTTCGCCATTTACAGGAAGCATTGAAGAAGACAATTACTACCCCTATATGTGTTTCGAAGTGTATGAACAACCGCTCACCGTTAGATTGTATTTAGAAATGAAGTTCCTTCCGACTTCATTCGCATGTTTATTTCTCTTGATAGCTGGTTGTGTTCTTTACTTTGTGTTCCATGATTATGGTTGCTGGCTGTGCTCTTTAATTGAACTTTAACATTGGTGTAATCGCGTGAAAAGCTTTTTTCTCTTGATGTCCTTGTTTGACTATGAATAGAAAAAGGTTATCAAAAGGGAAAACGAAAAACAATCACAAATGGGAACAACTCATTTGCAAAGCATGCATACTACAGATATGATATTTGATCTATGAATAAGTATCAACATCTCTATCTCCCTTCCATAATTCAATAAAAGCGAAAAAATGTGAAGCCCGATGCGGGGCTCGAACCCGCGACAGCCAGATTAAGAGTCTGGTGCTCTACCGACTGAGCTAACCGGGCTGTGACTACATAATAAT